ACAGGGACTGGCCTCCTGCTGGGACTCGGAAGAGCACAGGGACTGGCCTCCTGCTGGGACTCGGAAGAGCACAGGGACTGGCCTCCTGCTGGGACTCGGAAGAGCACAGGGACTGGCCTCCTGCTGGGACTCGGAAGAGCACAGGGACTGGCCTCCTGCTGGGACTCGGAAGAGCACAGGGACTGGCCTCCTGCTGGGACTCGGAAGAGCACAGGGACTGGCCTCCTGCTGGGACTCGGAAGAGCACAGGGACTGGCCTCCTGCTGGGACTCGGAAGAGCACAGGGACTGGCCTCCTGCTGGGACTCGGAAGAGCACAGGGACTGGCCTCCTGCTGGGACTCGGAAGAGCACAGGGACTGGCCTCCTGCTGGGACTCGGAAGAGCACAGGGACTGGCCTCCTGCTGGGACTCGGAAGAGCACAGGGACTGGCCTCCTGCTGGGACTCGGAAGAGCACAGGGACTGGCCTCCTGCTGGGACTCGGAAGAGCACAGGGACTGGCCTCCTGCTGGGACTCGGAAGAGCACAGGGACTGGCCTCCTGCTGGGACTCGGAAGAGCACAGGGACTGGCCTCCTGCTGGGACTCGGAAGAGCACAGGGACTGGCCTCCTGCTGGGACTCGGAAGAGCACAGGGACTGGCCTCCTGCTGGGACTCGGAAGAGCACAGGGACTGGCCTCCTGCTGGGACTCGGAAGAGCACAGGGACTGGCCTCCTGCTGGGACTCGGAAGAGCACAGGGACTGGCCTCCTGCTGGGACTCGGGAGAGCACAGGGACTGGCCTCCTGCTGGGACTCGGAGGAGCACAGGGACTGGCCTCCTGCTGGTCCCAGAGTCAGGACTAACCATGAGGAGGCAGCGTTTGAGGTTTATGCAGCTAAAATATGGAACAGTCTTCCTGAAAATGTGAGACAGGCTTCTTCTCTGACAGTGTTCAAATCCAGGTTAAAAACAGTTGTGTTTTTGCTGAAACTGAAAGATTGTATCTTCACTCTTTTTAATGTGATTATTTGATTTTAATCCCTTGTTTTGTGGAGCACTTAGAGATGCCTTTCGTATGAACTGTGCCACACAAATAAACGTGCCTTGCCTTTACCTAAAACCTCCCAAATGCAGGGCCACCTTTTTGTGCTAGACCCACAGACTGTAGGACCACACAGACCCTGCTCTGGGGAAGCTGCCACACACAGAATAGGGGTGACATTGGATATTCTCCATAACGTTTAGAGACAGAGCAAGCTGCAGACGACAAGTGAAGCTTAAAGCAATACCTTTAGGCTCTGTGTACTTATAAGAACCAGTCTAGCCTTGGTTTTGACCCAGGATCTAGCCTCACTGTGCCCTACGCAAATGGGAACAGGGACATGGGCCTTTGAGTCCATCACGAACTGGCTCTATTTGGGGTTTAAGCAGAATATACACGGTACCTATGCACACTGGATACTGGTCGTGATGCAATGATCCAGAGATACAGCAGGCGTATATGTTGCACACACACACGCCCCCCCCCGGCGGTTCTACGGTTCTACGGTTCAACCCACTCACCCTGGACGTCTCCTTCAGATGGTATCGGCACAACGTGTGGTCCAAGTCGAATCCAATCACGTCGCAGTCCGAGAGGCAGAAATAGTCGCCCATGACAGCAGAGGAGGCTGTCGGACATGCAGCACCAGAAGCACCAGCAGTAACACCAGCACCAGCACCAGCACCAGCAGCTGTCAATGTCACCGCAGACACAGGAGCGGGAGGTGGGAGGGGACCGCCCGGTGTCGCTCTCGCTGTCCGCGGCTGGAGACGGCGACGGGAGCGGGGTGTGGAGGAGGACGAAGGAAGCACAAGGGGAAACGCATGTGCAGAGTGTGTGCGTGTGTGTGTGTGTGTGTGTGTGTTTGTGTGTGTCAGTGTGTGTGCGTGTGTGTACGTGCAGTGTGTGTATGTGCGCGTGCGTGCGTGAGGAGCTGTATTTCCGGGTACGGGTTGTGACGTAATGAACACATGGCATTTAGGCGCGAGAAAACGTCTTTTATGGTTTTATGTTTTAAGCTGTGGTCTAATCTTGAACTTGATGTGTGTTTTTTAAGGCACCTGTTTTGTTTGTATATGTTTGCATTGTTTCCTACAGATTAAAAATAATATAATAAAAAACAAGATCTTTCCTTTATGTTTATTTTTATTAGGAATGAAGATTTGCACATACATGACTATAGATCGGGTCTAGAGCTGAATCTCAAGAATTTGTCCCGCACATCACAAATATAAGATGTCCTCTTAAGTCGGTGGGGCAGGCACCCAAGGGTGACAGTCATGGAGTGAATGAATAATTACATGTAAAGCGTCTTTGAGTGTCCTGAAAAGCTCTAAATAAAACCAATGCACTATTATAAAACCTTTTGAAGCCTTTTAAATTATTATAATTATTTCAAAAAATACAATCAAAACAAGTATACCTTACATAATATTTCCACAGAAAGACAACACATAAATAAATAGAGGCCCTCATCTGTCAATAGTACGTGTAACGGGCACTTGTCAATGAATACAATCAGTTTTATGAAGTTCTTTGTATTTATAAACTTCTAAAAGAAAACACTAATTGCAGTGTAGCTGTGTGTCCGGTAGGTGTCACTGTTGCCGCGTGGTGCTCTGGTTCCTCTGGTTCCTCAGTCCTCGCAGGTGCACATAAAAATGCTATTGAAATATAATTAGCATGATATACATACATACAGGGTTCTGCTAATCAATTAATATTACAATATTTATCAATGTGATTGATTAATTAAAAAAAAATGATAAAGGCCAGATGGTATGGCATGGTATGGTTTTTTTTATTTTTACAGGGACAGTGTACAATAAACAACAGCCCAAAGGAGAGATGCATTGTACCAAGTTGTAGCAGCAGTGCTAATTTACACCTGTAGTCCCTGAGCAGGTTGTTAGTAAGATTGGTTCAGTTCAGAAGTTTGGTTCAGTTCAGAAGTTAAAAATAAAATAAAAATAATAAAAAGGGGGCATAATATCAGACCTCACCTGTCAAAAGTACATGTTTGATGGACTAATTTGTATTTATAAACCTCTTGAAGCTAAGCAGAAAAAACACAAACATTGCAGTGTGGCTGTGCGTCCGGCAGGTGTCACTGTTGCTGCGTGGCACAATAGATCCATGCGTGGCACTGGTTCCTCCGGTCCCTCTGGTTCCTCATTCCTCGCAGGTGCAGCTCATTGGTCCAGGTGATCAGCTTTGCACCTGCAGTCTCTCTCCACACACGGAAACACCTCTCAGATGGGACAGACGCACGGGTGAGGGCGCACTACACGATGCCAGGCTGTGATTGACGTCTGCCATGGAGCTCCAGAAGAGACTTTCCACCTGCTGGGACCGCTTTCTGTCCTGCTTCAGAAAGCCCGAACAGTCCGAAACAGATGGATCCACTGTCATCACCAATCCCCATGCCAAAGTCTCGACATACAACCCCGGCCCGTCTAACCCCGCTCCCCCGCAGAAGAGAGGTTCTAACCCGGCCGCTCGGAACCAGTACGTGGCGCTGTACGACTACTCGGCCAGGACAGCGGACGATCTGAGCTTCAACACCGGGGACAGGCTAGAGACGCTGAACAAGGACACAGGGGAGTGGTGGTTCGCCAAGGCCCTCACCGGGATCTCCTCCAACCGGACCGGGTACATCCCTGCGAACTATGTGGCCCCCCTGGAGAGCATCGACGCGGAACCGTGAGTGTGAGCTTTGATTTGGAGAAATCTGTCTTCTTATGACGGTGTGAGGATAAATCAGGGTGTTTGGAAGGCCACAAGAGTAGAAAAGGCAAGAGAATGAACTTCACCCTCAAAGTAGTAGGCCTCTCCTGATCTACTGTAGTTTATTTCCACTTCTAGGCAGGCATTGAATTCAGCTGGACGACTTCTTCTAGACGAATTTATACGTATTTTTATTGATTTTAAGTATGGAAAACATATTCATCCGTACAATTACAGAGAATGCTAATAACAAAGAACAAAATCTAAATCTACATTCAGGGGTCAGCCAATCAACTATTTATATTGACGTGATTGTTTGAATTCTTTTTTGTTTTAAATTATAGATTCTACAAAACTATAAACGTTCTAGGTTTTTTTGTTTTTTTGTTAATGGATTTATTGCATAGATTACACCAGAGAATACTGTTGTTGATTTGGATTCAAATCACCCGGCTCTACAAGTGTTTCCAAAAGCCCTGTTTATTCAGTTCCAGGAATTAACTGACTGATTGTTGCAGTTTGTCATGATCAGTGTTGGGTAAGTTACTGTAATTGGTAGAACTGGTGGAAATGGGGTTTATGAACAAGAAGCAGTTCTGGCCAAATGCGGAGGACTTGTATAGTTCACATAATTCCCCTCTGGATCTTCTATTTGGCTTGTGTCTAAATGATAGCTGGATAGACCTATTATTTACCAAACTAATAGATTAAACGCAGCCATCATCTGAATATTTTCTTTTTATGAATTTGATGTGAAACAGACAAAAGGTACGACCCTGAAACTAAGATAGAAGGCGACTAAAACTAAATCAATGCATCATGAATTAACTAATGTGTCACTGCTGTTCTCTGGTCTGGATGTCTGTAGGGCCTCTGTCTGTGCCTCTAAAGCTAAGTTTCCTCCATAGTCCTTGGGCAGAAGCAAAGATGCAGCTGGTTTAATTATACCGAATTATAACATAGAATGGCCTCATTATCATTTAAAATACAAGTGAAATGTAACTTGTTTTTATGTTAATGCTACTACAAAATGCATGGTCTTGCTCATAACACTTATGGCAGTTTGTCCAATGTGACTGTCCTGTCCATATCAACAAAAAAGAGAAAGTCATGTTTTGTGGTTTGAAGCAGGTCACTGTAGAGTTTCCTGGATTGAGGAGCTCATGTAACAATTGTCCTACTTTTGCGCCCAGTTCTTTGAAACATAATAAACATATATCAGATTATATATTTTTTACTATTTGGATCTCCTGGTTTAGCTAACAGCGGCTCCAGGAACTATAAAACTCTTTAAAAGTCTCGTATAACTCCTTCTGTGTCTTAGTGTTTTGACTCCTGGTTAATGATTGCCTCAAACCAGGAACTGTTTTTGTAGGTTAACTATTCCCTCAGGTATGTGCGAGTGCTGGAAAGGGATGACTTTAAATCTGACGGCATGCACCCGGAGGCTGTTTACTGTTAACACTTGTAACTGGAAAAGCAGATATTTCCCGGTTGCAGAAGTATTTCATGTATTCCAATGTGGTTTTACTGCAAATCTGAAATGACTATCAGCGTTCCTAACTTTCAGATGACTTCCGAAAAGTCTCTGACATGGCAGGTTTTTGCAATCATGAACAGTTTTCTATTCAATTACTTGTATTTGTGTAGTGTTCGAACGTATCAGGAGTTGTTTACAAAGTTGTCGATTTGGCCACAGAGAATAAAACAGTTCAGGAAAGGCAATAATAACAACGCACAGGAGCCATTGGTCCATAGGAGCAGGACTGTCTCCTGCATCAACAAGGACTCAAAAAAAACCCCACAAAAAATCCACTGCGGGTTAAAAATTGGAACCATATTGGAAGAGGGTTCTACTCCCACAGGCTGTAGGTGCAGAGATTGTTTACATTCTAAGCATTATCTCACAAAGATTACAGCTGAGTGTTGTTTTTAAGGGGAATTTTAAGGAGTGTAGCCATTTTGATACACGGTCAAAACGGGACATGATGAACTAGTAGAAAAGTAAAGTTTGAACAAATCCTTCCAACTTTCTGTCTTTATCAGGAGAAAACCGGTTTTCTTGAAAGAGCCCTGTGTATAAACTTTTGACATTGTTGGGCTCCGTTTAGTAGGAGACGATGCAAAGCTATTGGCAAAAACAATCAGGTTCCTAGAGAGAGATCAGTTCTACTCCTTCCAAATGTACGTGGGGTAAGTGCTGAAGTAAAGGCAGCAGAGAATTCACACCTTTTTCTTCGAACAGAAGCGTCTCTGTTCCGCTCTGGAGGCTGTTTCTCAACTCTAGCGTTTTCACCTGAAACTGTCTTCATGTAAACAAAAGAACAAACTGAAACTTGCACATCCTATACCCCAGCTTCTATTTCCCTAAGGATATTGAATGAAACTTTATTGAGTCCAGGCCTGACCTCCCCTTTGCCCTAATGTGATATCTGCTTGAGTCATGGTGAGTAGTTTTTGTTGACGCGCCGAGTCTTTCAACTGGTTTGTCAGGTCTGTCCTACTTCCACCGACGGCGGTCAATGAGGCCAATAGACTTTTGTTTTCATGTAGATCTCAATTGTGTGGTATTTGGTAAACATGGAGAGGGAGAGCGGCGAGAAGGATTCAAACCGTGTGATATTTTTGGTTTATTGGCTGCAGAGTCTCCCATTAAAGGAGCTATACCCGTTTCTGCAGTTTTGAATGTTTAGCCCCGCCCCCAACTCGCTCACAGGCTTCTCATTTCCCCTACGCTCTCCTCCCACGGATCCATCTAGTTTTATTTGCGATCTGATACGTATGCTAACATTAGCATGAGCGCAACTTCTTGTAAGTTGTACAACCATCACTGACAAAATGGTACAAAAGCAACGCACTGCTAACAACATAACTGAAAGATTTCACGTCCAAATGTGGTCCCAGCGTAGACGGTCCGAGCGTAGACGGTCCGAGCGTAGACGGTCCGAGCGTAGACGGTCCGAGCGTAGACGGTCCGAGCGTAGATAGTCCGAGGCGGTCCCGCAGGTCTCTCCCATAGACCAGTCTCTCCAGATGATACGATGTAAGCTAGCTCTGTTCAGGGCTTTTTGGCTTTAGTTCCTCTTCTCTTCCTCACTGTTGTGTGGTTTGGGCTGTTTTGCTGTGTCTGCAGTTACAGCCAGAGGAGTTATAGCCACTTATGCTAACATGCTACTGTGTTTAGCATCACTGTAGAGGCTACAGGGACTAGAGCCGGGGACTAGAGCCGGGGACTAGAGCCGGGGACTAGAGCCGGGGACTAGAGCCGGTATTTAGTGAAAGCTGTGAACACGGCTCTAAACACTTGCACGTGAGAAGCATGGAGACCGAACTCGGAGAGCGAGAAACTAGCTGCATGGATTGTCATTGCGTCACTAAATGTTTGCGGTCTAAAAATTGGATACTCCAGCTTTAAACCTTTCAACATTGCATTCAGGTTGTCACTCTGAACTGGCTCGCCCTGTTCTGGTCATGAGACGTCGGTTCCTGTTGTTGTATAAATAACTCCCCAATAAATTTCTTTTAGTTTCGGTACTTCCCAGGTCAGACTCCTGTAGCCACGCCCAAAGTTTAATAAACAGCAGCTCTTTACCAGCAGCACACAACGCTTTAACAATAGGTACAAAATCAGGTCAGAGAAAGACTGAAAAGTGCTCAGAGGAAAGATTTAAGGCCGATGGCTGTAGCTGGAACTACAAAAGTCTGTAGCTGGAACTACAAAAGTCTGTAGCTAACGATTATTTTAGAATATCTGTTTTGTATTGTTTTAGTATCTTAAGAATTGTATCTAAAGTATTATGTGGAAATGTAGAAATACTTATTCTCATTCAGTGCAGTTCAATGCATTTGTGTATCGCCCTAAGTAACAACAGCAGTCGTCTGGAAGGATTTCACAAAGTTGTTGATTTGCCAACAACAGATCAGAGAATTAAACTATTCGAACGTGGGAAATGCAATAATAACAAACTCATTGGAGCCATAAGGATGACCCGGATGACCCCTGTCCAGAAAAGTCCAGCTTCATCACTGTCCTTAGACCGTCCTGTATCTGCAATGAACCACCGGGAAGAATCCAGTGGGGAAATAAATTTGAGACTGTCTTTAGATCAGTCCCGGGGGTCTACGGCCTCGGTCCCGGGGTCTACGGCCTCGGTCCCGGGGTCTACGGCCTCGGCCCCGGGGTCTACGGCCTCGGCCCCGGGATCTACGGCCTCGGTCCCGGGGTCTACGGCCTCGGTCCCGGGGTCTACGGCCTCGGTCCCGGGGTCTACGGCCTCGGTCCCGGGGTCTACGGCCTCGGTCCCGGGATCTACGGCCTCGGTCCCGGGGTCTACGGCCTGGGAATGACATGTGAAGCGTCCTGAAAGCGCTGTATAAAACTGATTTTATTATGTATGTATTTATTTATTTATTATCCCAGGTCTGTGCGTCTGAGTCTGTAACAATCTCATAGTTCGTATCATAATAGTTTGTTCTTTTTTCCAGGTGGTATTTTCCTGAAACTAAGCGACAGGACGCAGAGAAGATGCTGCTGGCAGAAGGCAACGACCAGGGAGCTTTCCTCATCCGCAACTGTGAGAGCCAGAAAGGAGAACTGTCGCTCTCAGGTACGGACCGCTGAGGGTCACGGCTCACAGGTACAGACCGCTGAGGGTCACGGCTCACAGGTACAGACCGCTGAGGGTCACGGCTCTCAGGTACAGACCGCTGAGGGTCACGGCTCACAGGTACAGACCGCTGAGGGTCACGGCTCACAGGTACAGACCGCTGAGGGTCACGGCTCTCAGGTACAGACCGCTGAGGGTCACGGCTCACAGGTACAGACCGCTGAGGGTCACGGCTCACAGGTACAGACCGCTGAGGGTCACGGCTCACAGGTACAGACCGCTGAGGGTCACGGCTCTCAGGTACAGACCGCTGAGGGTCACGGCTCACAGGTACAGACCGCTGAGGGTCTTGATCTGACTTGTCTCTTGTGCCTCCCTTTTTATCTACATATATTTTTTTGTACAAATGTTTTTTGTTTTTGTAAGTAACAGAATGTCTCTAACTAGGAACTCTAACTAACTTGGTGTAAACAAGTTATGAAAGCAAAAGTGGATATAGGCATATAAAGAAATTGGGTCCCAATAGTTCAATTACTGTAGTTTGTGGACTATAAACAGCTACTTGGGCGGCGCCTCTCAGCAAGAAGGTCTTGGGTTCGAATCCCGGTCGGACCAGGGCCTTTCTGAGTGGAGTTTGCATGTTCTCCCCATGTCTGCGTAGGTTTCCTCCGGGTACTCCGGTTTCCCCTACCACTAAAAACATGTACAATAGTTCTGGCATGCTCCTCTTGTACTGGCCCCTCCCATCTCTGTGTGGAGTGAGAGACAAATGCCCAAAAAAGAAATGACAATTGTAAACCGCTTTGACTCTGGTCTGAGAAAGGCATGTTGTGGAAATTCTGCACATAATGAGAGTAAAATAATGTAAACAACTCAGAGCTAAATGTGCACAATTACAATGAATAACAGAACCAGTACCACCTGCAGCCGTCCGAAACCAACTGCACCGAATGAGGAAATCACTACATTAAATAGACCAAACAAAACAAACTCATATCTACTCTAGATATTACACAGATGAAGTCAACATTGATATGTGTTGCTCAAGGCTTCTCTTTACGCGTCTTAACGCTGATATAACTCTGATATATGTAACAATCTGCTTTTGAACTGGACATATTGTTGTATGACCCAGATGAGGTCAAAGACATGATGCAGCACGTCTCCATCTATCACTGACCTGAGCCAACAGAGCATTATGGCCTGTGTTTCAATCCAGAGTTGACTATTAGTTAAAAACTTACACTCATAACTATTTGGTGTTAATTCAGATTTCTTTACTAATATATTTCTATAACAGGCAGTATATAAATAAAGATTACACTTACTTTTTTCTAGGCCTTTTAATTAAACCCATATTAGCTTATATAGTTATGCGGCTTATGTGTCACTCTACTCTGTAGGTGTCAGAGCAGAGTTTATGGACTTTTTTTTTTTTTTTTTTTTTTAGTTTATATTTTTTTTAATTGGTTTTCTTTTGCAGTCATGCATTACTCACTAAGTGTTTTAAAGACAGTATGACCAGTTAACAAAAATAAAATAAGATTCCATGAGAAGGGAAAATAAGCAAAAATAAATATAAAGTTGATAAAAATAAAAAAGAACAGTAAATAAAGAAAAAAATACCTAATGTATATAAAATAAGAAATAATAATAATGAAGAAGGCAGGGGGGCTACACACTTGGCTTTGTAACATCATTTGCCATGGCAAAGCTCTCCAAAGAAGAACCTTGAATGGGGATAGGTTATTTATTTTTATGGACTTATTATTTTGACTTCATGTATTCGTAGCTACAGGACACTCGTTTAATGCCAAATCTAAGCTAACGATTAAACTTTTAAACTTCTCGTCATTAACTCTTTTTTTCCAGACGCATTTTCTTTTAAATATTGTGAGAAAACGTCCCTAAACCCTAAAAGTATCAAGTTATGTGTTTTCAAATAGTAATGGAATGTAGTCTGCAAAAATTGATAAATATTTTGAAGCGGACCGATAAAAATAAACCAATGGGATTTGTTCATCTCCAACGAACCAATGGGATGTGTTTACCGCCTTCACCCTCTTCCTGTTTCTCAGAGTGTCTCAGAGTTATCGGATTTTCTAAAACCTAAAATGGCTGAACAGAAAATGCCAATTTCACGTTTGCTTCACTCTCCCTGTGACAAAGAAAAGAGAATGCTGGATGTTTGGTTTGGTGGAGAGGGAGGGGAGGGGAGGGGGGAGTGGTTTGGTGGAGAGGGAGGGGAGGGGGGAGTGGTTTCGAGTTGGTACTACGGCTAAGCTAACATCGCTTACTGCACCTTTAAAGTGGTTCTCACCCCCGCTCCTCGGAGCTTACGTTACTCACATTTCCTGTTCAAATCTTCCTGGCCTGGAGGACTAAAGGGGGCGTGAACGAGACTGGACCGTTTACATTGCTCTGGGCGGGGGACTGTTGACGTCAAGTCCAACTTGCAGACGTCAGGTCCAACTTCTGTGCCAGTGTTGGCGCCAGATTCAAAATTCAAATGTAGTAATACAGGTCACCAGCAGATGGCGCCTCACAGACGGTTTTAGGCAGAAAGTCTAACTTTCAACTAATTTGCACCAAAGTGACAAAATTATGACCAGGATATGTAGACAACACTGTTGGACACTCATTTATACAGTTTATCAGCAAAAATAAGTGGATTTGAGGGTGAGTTGTCCTTTAAAACCGACGTCTCTGCTACATTACAACATGAGAACCTGCAGCTAATGTTCAGGTGCACTTTTTATAGTCCAGAAAGTACGATAGATGTGAGATCCATGTACTATCCATGTCTCATTGTAAATCCCATGTATCTTTTTTTTTTCTTTCTAGTTCTGGACAGTGGACGAGTGAAGCACTACAAACTGAGAAAGCTGGAGAACGGTCAATATTTCGTGTCTCGAACGAAGTCTTTCGAGACGCTGAAGGAGCTGGTGGAGTGGTACTCGGGCCAGGCCGACGGTCTGTGCGCTCGTCTGGGAGAACCCTGTCGAAAGGTCCGCCTCCAAACCCCCGACTTTGATTCCTTCGGTTTATTCTTCATGACTTGACGTTGATCTGTTGTGGTTGTTCCAGATGGAGGCCCCCACCACGTACGGTTTGTCCTACAACACGGTGGACACCTGGGAGATCCCGCGCACCTCCATAAAGCTGGGCAAGAAGCTGGGGGCGGGGCAGTTTGGAGAGGTCTACGAGGGTCTGTGGAACGACACGACCGCTGTGGCCGTCAAGACTCTGAAACCCGGTAAACTCAAAAGATCCTGATGTGCTCCCCATGTTTGACTTTGCGTTAGAATAGGGCTCTAACACATCGGTCTAAGGTTTTGTTTACACGAGGACGCTGCGACAGTGAAACCTTAGAGTTGGGTTGGCCTTTCGTTTACATGAATTCCATAGCCCTAACTCACAACAGTAGTTATCTCAACGCTGATCCGAGCATTAAACCGTTCAAAAACAGGAAATGCAACGATAAACACAGAGCAATTGGTTCATAATCGGACTGTCCATAAAAAGTTGCCGCTCTCACTTTTCTGCAAGGTCATGGGTTCGAATTCAGGTTTGAACCGGGCCTCTCTGAGTGGAGTTTAAATATTCTCATGTAGATGTAGGTTTTCTCCATGTTCTTGCACTAAAACATGTACAGTGGGTAAAATAAATACACATGTACTTGTCTTGTGCACGCTGGGGACTTTTGCAAATGTATTCCAATGTGGTTTTACTGCAATTGGCAAATAAATGAATCTGAATTATTACATCCTAACCTAGAAACTTAACTTTTTAGGTTAAGGTGCTTTATTTATCCACATACAGTAAACCCCTCGCTCAGTAAGTTTGTCACACTCACCATTAGCACCAGGATCGCTGCTGTGTGTAATGTATCGGTAAATCCAGATGTGAGACGTGCACGGATTGATCAAATATCTTCATTTGTGTGAGAAACTCAAGCTTCCCTTAGCAACCGTCTTAGCGACACGTCTGCCCCTGTTATGGCACGAAGCTAACCCTGTCAGGACATTTGCCCATATAAGGAAATTGGCTCCAGCTGGCTTATGTTCTGATCATCTTCTTCCACATTAATGCTAACACTGTGGTGATGTCACACTTGATGTTTGTGTCCGACAGGAACCATGGACGCCGCAGACTTCCTGAGAGAGGCTCAGTTCATGAAGCGGCTGCGACACGCCAAACTCATCCAGCTGTACGCCGTCTGCACCATGGAGGAGCCCATCTTCATCATCACCGAGCTCATGAGGCACGGCAGTCTGCTGGAGCACCTGCAGAGTACGTACCTCCTCCGCTGGGACCTGTACCTCCTTTTCAAACTCATAGGAGCCATTGGTTCATGGAGAGAGGGATGAAATAAATGTTAATGTCGTGGCTCATCACTGTCTTTAGACCCTCCGCCAAGGAATGAGACAGTGGGAAAGCAAGCTAGTTATACACTTGGACTTTTAGGGATCTTAACTTGGTCCGCTATGGTCCCTGGTCCACTATGATCCACTATGGTCCCTGGTCCACTATGGTCCGCTATGGTCCCTGGTCCGCTCTGATCCACTTAGGGTCCACTATGGTCCGCTATGGTCCGCTCTGGTCCACTATGGTCCGCTCTGGTCCACTATGGTCTACTATGGTCCACTATGGTCCCTGGTCCGCTCTGGTCTACTATGGTCCATGGTCCGCTCTGGTCTACTATGGTCCATGATCCACTATGGTCTACTATGGTCCACTATGGTCCATGGTCCACTGTGGTCCCTGGTCCACTATGGTCAATTATGGTCCTTGGTCCACTATGGTCACTTATGGTCCATTATGGTCTATGGTCCCTGGTCCACTATGGTCCTTGGTCCACCGTGCTCCTGTAAAAACTTCCTATTCATTCTCTTTTTGTGACGTCATGTCCTTTTTGTGCCACCACCATTTTTCTCCTGTTTTTAAAATGCGTTTCTCCAAACACGTACAGGGACAGAAATACGTCACGAGCAGCGGACAAACTACTTCTTTGTTTTGAGCAGTGGACAGGGGCAGAAACCTGGGCATCTCGGACCAGATCGAGTTTGCGGCGCAGGTGGCCGCGGGGATGGCGTATCTGGAGCAGCAGAACTACATCCACCGAGACCTCGCCGCCCGCAACGTCCTGGTGGGAGAGAACAACATCTGTAAAGTGGCGGACTTCGGCCTCGCCAGGGTCTTCATGGTGAGCGCCACTGTCTGCACCGAACGCCCCGACACAGCCGCTGTTCCACAAGTTACTCAGAAACGTAAACCATGATGTGATGCGTAAGAGAAATGTGTCCCTACAATATTACTGTCTCTGGTTTGTAAAGAATTGTGTTGCGCTGCGTACAGAAATGACAATGGTTTTGAAGCAGAAAATAAATGCGCAAACATTTTACATTTTTTGTCCCCTCCCTCCCATGGGTCCGCCCATCCAAACATAAATACACAAACACACACACCCAACCTTGGACCTGAACCCTGTCCAAATGGTTTTGGGGCTGGACCACAGAGTGAAGGGGAAAGTGCTAAGCATCATGGGAACTCAGACCATTTCAGGTCCTGTTGAAGCCCATCCAGAGAATGCCGAGAGTGAAGCAGTATCAGAGCAAAAGGTGCTACTTTGAAGAACCAGAATACAACACATATTTTCACTTGGTTCATACTTTTTTTTTTTTTTTTTTAGTATGTACATAATTCCACATGAGTTCATTCATAGTTGATGCCTTCAGTGTCAATCTACCATTTTCATAATCATGAAAATAAACTCTTTGAGAAGGTGTGTCCAAACTTTTGGTCTGTACTTTAGATCTATGTATAATACTCTGGATACTGGTGGATAGGTTATACCAGTTTGGATAAATTAAACCAGATTACCTTTACCGCTTTGGCCTCACTTTGTGTTTATCTCTTTGGTGAAACTAACTTCAAACTAAATGTAGCTTATGATGCTAGCGTGAGGTTGATAGTTAGGTTTATGTTCCGCATCTTTAACAAATTCTAAATAATGGAGTCTGTCCATCTGTAAAATGTACTATTGTCCACATGGTGCTTCTGCTTCAGCCTCGGCCTCTTCTACCAGAAAGGAACAACACTTCTTAGCGCCTCCCATTGGAGCAGATTTGTTCTCGTGGTGCCATTAGTGTAAAAATAACTGACCTTGTTTTTAATGCCTTACACTGTTACAATAAAAAGCAATACATTACATACATAACTTTTGTAATGATGTGTAGATTATGTTTTGTGTTGTAGAAAGAAAATGAAAACGTGTATGAAGCCAAAGAAGGCGGTAAGTTCCCGGTGAAGTGGACGGCTCCTGAGGCCATCCACGACAACACGTTCAGCATCAAATCTGACGTCTGGTCCTTCGGGATTCTGCTCTACGAGATCATGACGTTCGGCCAGACGCCTTATCCAGGTAACCCCATCTGCTCCTCATTCTGTGGCTTCATGAGGGGGTTTGACTGTTCCACAATCTGCTCCCATCACCCACTTCACATTTATAGTACTTGCTCGACAGTACTAGTTTAAAAAAGTAGCAAGTATAAAATCTCCAACTTAATCTCAATGGGTTTATATGCTCTGGGAGGCGTCATTTCCTGTTAACAAAGAACAGCCTGTTTACTTCCTGTCTGTGCTATCGCTGTGGCTTTGTGGTGAGTTGTTGTGACGTTTTTTAGTAATTACATTGATACATTCAGCTGAGACTGACCCAAAAGTGTGGACGTACTTTCTGTCTGAGGAATAGCTTTGACTGTGGCCATTCAGAGATATTAGTTAAATTTATAAAAGCACAATGAGAGCACAATCAAACCCATTTGTCAAGTGTCGTTAGAACTAAAACCGTGCGTGCGTAGAGCCCGTAGGGATTAGGGAAGAATAAAACGTGGATGACAGTGGACACATATGGTTCTGTATCGCACATTGTGACATGCTTCTTGTTCCTCCAGCCATGACCAACTACCAGGTGGTGCAGAAGGTCCTGGAGGGATACAGGATGCAGCCTCCTCCCAACTGCACCAAGATCCTCTTTGCGATCATGTCGGACTGCTGGAAGCGGGACCCCCAGGACCGGCCCACCTTCGAGACCCTGCAGTGGAAGCTCGAGGACTACTTCGAAATGGACGTCACCTCGTACGACGACGCCAACCGCTACTACAGCTAAAAAACATCAACTCTTGTCGAGAAACGTGATTTGGAACTTTTGTAATCGTCCGCTCCAATGTTTTTGCTGCTTTTACACAATTATTATGAAGTGTTTCGACTCGACACTATTCCGTACTTGTTTAGAAACCTGCGATGATGGCGGCTTGTAAGTCTCATGTTGTGGATTCAGCGAGTATTCATAGAAGTTTTTATTGTAACTCTGAGAAAGACTGTTGCGTCAAACCTCTGACTGGGAAGACGCCAACTTGGAGCTGACGGAAAACTCCGGCCCGGAAGAACCCGTCCTTCTCCAACCTGCATTCTGCTCATACTTTCCACTCCTCACATTCCGGCGTTTCAAGCTGTGCACACGTTTGCCAATGGCTCATAGGAACAAAAACAATCTTTTTAAATGAAGGAAACCTGCAATAATGGACAATAATTTATGAGATTGAATTATGAATGCTACCTGCTTCAGTCACTTGACCTAAAAATAGTTTTATTTTGTTGTAGCGATTGTAGGTCCAATTAAAATGCTGTATTCTTTAACAAATTGTACATTTTAACCATTTCAGTGTTTTAAATAAATATGTATATTTTAACACCATACTTTTATCGGATTTTGTGGTGAATGGATTTGTTTTACTCCCAAAATGTCCACCTGTGCTTTTTTCCCCCCTCCGTACTTTATTTTTGTAAAAGACAATAGAATGCAGGCACTGACACATGTAGATAAGATCAGATTTAAACTGTCATTGGTAGTTTTGCTATATTAAATTATATGTTCATGTATGAGACCCATTTTTTTTACCCCCAGTAGTGAGAAACTTCTAGGAACTTCGTATTGAGAAAGAAAGTCCTTTTATTAGTCCCACAATGGGGAAATTAGAAAACTTGATACATACACAAAGGCAAGCCGCGAACGGCACTACCACGCTTCTCATAGGCAAAGTGGGTTAAGTGTCTTGCCCAAGGACACAACGCTCTACCAACTGAGCCACTTCTCCCACGGATTGACGGGCTGTAGATCATCCAGGACTAAGTAAACTATGGGTGGAAATGCAGCTGATGTCTTGCGTTCTGTAATGTAAGAAATGATTCCTGCACAAAACAATGGCATGTGTATTCCCAGGCTGTTTGGTTGCATGGGTTTTAGTTTGATTGCCTTTACACCAACTCACCAGAAGAGGGTGCTGTATCTTCAGTGTTGACAGTTGCCCCCGGTATAAAAGCTTTCACCTGTAGTTCAGCTTTTGCGCTACAAGGCAGATGTTAAACTTGGATGTGCAGATTTACTTACGATGATCACATTTTCTTAGATTTACTGAAGCGTACGGTGACCAATCTCAAATGAACATATCCTGCAGACCTCAGTTTTTTGGTGAGGTTTCTTGAATCGCATCAAGGCAGCCATCCATCAGAGCAGCACCTGAGTCCCTGCACCCAGCCCCAGCCTCTGCATCCACATCTCTGCATACCTCATATTCAGCAGCGTGGAGCCGTCTGCCTCTCCTCAAACTATCAATCCTGCTCTCACTCATTCCACTTCATTGTCTCTTTATTCCAGCACTTTCCTGCATGGGGGAGCGTGATGGATCTGTCTTTGGAATAAGGCAGACAGGAAAGTTGGGGAGGCCAGGCAGTGTTTGAGAGTGTAGAGTATGCCCTGACGCTGATGAATGGGCTGCTTCATTGGGACGCTGCGTCTTTTAGCAGCTTCCCCTCTTTGTCCTGTCGTGGTTTTTGTCTGTTCTGCTTTTTTTGGTTGAAGTACAACTGCACCTATTGCTATTACAAACCAGACTGGGTCTCCCTGCTTCTTTATTTGAACAGTATTTATTCTGGGGTCAAAAGGAGAGGGTTGAAGCAAGAAGATTATGAACACCCCACCCCCCAAACTCTCTCAAATCAGACTGTATTACAGCAAAAGGATACGGAACTTATATCTGCGCATTCTGGATTATGGAATAGTCAACCATTTTCTACAGTCAATTAGACAGAATGGAAAAATAGATCAAACACTTAAATGTCTCACTGACCAGAGAGGATAGACTACACAAGGCCAAGGCAAAACTCGCTAAAAGAATCTGTCTAAGGTCAGAATCTTGGACAAACACAAAAATGAGTTTTTGGAGATACAAATCAACAAACATGTTTAATATCCTGGGGACAATTTTCAGGTTTGGAAGTTTTTGCCACAAAGATATCACGATCTACTCCCATGACCCACATGAGATGCTCTTTAATGCACTTGTAAATAAAACACACCATCTCCATTTGAACAAAGTAGATTTTATCCTCAAAGCTGCTCATGAACAGGTTTTATAAGAAGATATTTGTTTCTTCCACACCAGACAATAGCAAGTTAGATATTTAATTAAATGTATTCTTGCATAGCCCTAAATCACAGCAGTAGTTATCTCAAAGGACTTAAAACTGTTGAACTCAACACAGATCAGAGAATGTAGAACACATGGTATTGGACCATGAGGAGAGACCAATGTCCATGAATGTAGTAGAACAATAAAGTGTCCTGGATCATCACAGTCTTTGTTGGTGTCTAACTGTCCAACAGACTTCTGCATCAAAGGAAAAACTATAAAACCCAGTGGGAAAAAGTGAGAAACCTCGGGGGGACCCACATTGAGAGAGGGATCTGCTCCACACGGACGGACGAGCTATAGATCCAGGACCCATACTGTAGATCCGATCCAGGACCCAGACTGTAGATCCAGGACCCTGACTGTAGATCCAGGACCCAGACTGTAGATCCGATCCAGGACCCAGACTGTAGATCCGATCCAGGACCCAGACTGTAGAACGAGGACCAAGGCCACACAGCGGTTGCAGATCGTGGACAGGTCCGGTGCAGGGCTGGGGTCGGGCAGGGCAGTCCGCAGGTGCAGATGGAGGGGGCCGGGTTCAGGGGTCCCGCTGTTGCGTCATGAAACAGACAGCGAAATTATTGTCTTGACAGGAGACGGAAGAACAGGAGGAAGTACGCCATCAAAACATGTCACGGTAATGACATCGCTAACTTACTGTTGTCCACTGAAGAGACAAGTTGAATCTTCCTAAACTATAGATTTTTAGAATGACAAGATTCTAACACACTGTTGACCCGTGATTGTCAAAGCCCAAAAGTAAATCTCTCCATTAAGAACCATGTAAATATTCACTGATTCTGAGTTAAAATTCTCTTCTACTGTGAGGTGTACAGCCGTGGCAACTGCTCGTATCAAGTGAAGAACTAAAGGAGTCTCTATTTTGCTAGATATACAGCACTGTATACATGTTTGGTGTCATTTTAGTGTATTTTTAAAGAAAATGACTAAAAATGAATGGAAAAAATTAGTTATTCTGTCTGTTTTCCGCATTTCCCTGTCTAACTATTAGGAAAAAAACACTATCTGTTCTACGACCACCTTCCACACTAAGAACAACATTACTAAAACTTACGGTTCACAAAACAAAAACCCGTCCTGTGTATTTCTTCACGTCTCTCTACCGTTCACATAAACACATCGTGAAGCAGGAATGTGCGCTACATGGGCTTTAGAGATAAACAGCTGAAAGAACTGTCTCCAAACCTGATCCTGGATTTGGATCTTAACCTCGCTGCTGTGGCTTATTAACAAATCCTGTAAGCGTCATTTTCACAGTGTTACAGTAATATACACGATTTACACGTCAGGATTCATATTTCATAATAAATTTTGTATTTTTTTAACAGCATTCTGGACAGAGTCAGTACATCATTTGGACACAGGGGGCGCACTCAAGCAGAAGAAAACCAACTGAAGTGTCCATATGATTAGCCTCTATAAGTGAGCTTAGTCCAGAGAGTGCTGTAAACGTAAAAAAAGTCAAACATTGAATTAATCGAAGCCTATTTGTGGTGAGAGAGGATTCTGGCCGAGTACAGACTGCAAAACCTGCACATTGTCTCCAGGTTATTGAAATTGTTTGTTGATTTGTATCTCCTCAAACTCTCGTATTAGTTTTTCCCTCTCTGCGTGACCTTTTGGCAGATTCCTCTAAACTATTTATTTGAGCTGGTTTCGCCTCGGCCTTGTTGGGGAGTCAGGGACGGCGGGGAGACCCAATCTGGAATGATGAATGTGCCGCTTTGTTCCGGCTGAAAAAGCACCATTCATCGGGAGATCAACCGGAGAGAGGCCCCGACAATACCAGAGGAATAAATAAGACTCGGCATTGTCATATCGCCGCCACGTGACAATAAAAACCTTTTGATTCATTATCCTCCCTCGCCGCATGCAGATTGCTTCAATAAGGCGCGGAAATGTTCAGAAAGTGCAGCGTTCTATTCTTGCTTTTAACATAACAAACAGAAATGAATGCAGAGTCGGCGCTACAAAGGAGTCCACACACAAAGTTTAGACCTCGCCGAGACCCAAAAAAGCTGCTATGTAAGTAGGAAAGACTTAGAAATACAACTTAAAGTTAAAAAACATTGAGTGTCAAGCTGCATATGAAGACACTTGCTTATTATGGCTTCCGCAGTAGTCTGTTCATTGCTATTCACCCACTGTCTGTAATTGCATTGTCTGTAACATGATTTGAGGATGGGACCCCTGAACCTGGCCCCTTCGACCGGCACCTGTGAACTGGTTCGGACTCGGGTCGGACTTGTGAGCTGCAATCTTTCTCAGTCCTGGGTCTACAGCCTCAGTCCTGGGTCTACAGCCTCATTCCTGGATCTACAGCCTCAGTCCTGGATCTACAGCCTCAGTCCTGGATCTACAGCCTCAGTCCTGGGTCTACAGCCTCAGTCCTGAATCTACAGCCTCAGTCCTGGGTCTAAAGCCTCAGTCCTGGATCTACAGCCTCAGTCCTGGATCTACAGCCTCAGTCCTGGATCTACAGCCTCAGTCCTGGGTCTACAGCCTCAGTCCTGGGTCTACAGCCTCAGTCCTGGATCTACAGCCTCATTCCTGGGTCTACAGCCTCAGTCCTGGGTCTACAGCCTCAGTCCTGGATCTACAGCCTCAGTCCTGGGTCTACAGCCTCAGTCCTGGATCTACAGCCTCAGTCCTGGGTCTACAGCCTCAGTCCTGGGTCTACAGCCTCAGTCCTGGATCTACAGCCTCATTCCTGGGTCTACAGCCTCAGTCCTGGGTCTACAGCCTCAGTCCTGGATCTACAGCCTCAGTCCTGGATCTACAGCCTCAGTCCTGGATCTACAGTCTCAGTCCTGGATCTACAGCCTCAGTCCTGGGTCTACAGCCTCAGTCCTGGGTCTACAGCCTCAGTCCTGGATCTACAGCCTCAGTCCTGGATCTACAGCCTCAGTCCTGGATCTACAGTCTCAGTCCTGGATCTACAGCCTCAGTCCTGGATCTACAGCCTCAGTCCTGGATCTACAGCCTCAGTCCTGGATCTACAGTCTATCCGTTTGTGGGAGCGAACCCTCTTTCAATATGGGCCTCCTTTCTTTCAGACCAACCAGGATCAGAGCAATCTCCACCATTTTCCTCAAATCTTCAGGTGAAGACTGGACTCTCTCGAGGACATGGGTCGAGACTGCTCTGCTCTGCCCTGTGAGTCACTATTTGACGCTTTGGGCTGAGAGCGTGAGAAGCAGAGTGAGGGTGGATCTCTCTAATGAACTTTTCTGTCTTAAAAATCTGATCTAAAATGACAGAGACCGAATACATCTATGTGAAAACTAGAGGAGAACCAGATAGTTTTAATTTCCCATTCTCATTTCCCATTTCTCTAGTTTGAAAGTTAGGCCTCCTAGCTTCAAATTGGTTTGAACATTAGGAATAAAGGAGCAGACTTCCCATTTGGGTCCGGAGGCTCGTTGGCTCCACACCTGAGCCTGTGCAGAGGCTCCACCCCCGAGGTCCTCCAGATGTCTGTGTCTGCTGCACCCTCACATCTAAGACACACACCAGGAGCCCTGGGTCACACACACACACAAACACACACGCACGCACGCACGCACGCACACACACACACACACACACACACACACCCACAAACACACACACACACACGCACACACACACACACACACACACACACAAACACACACACACACACACACACACACACATGTTTGTCTATATCACATGGTAGGGACACAAGACAAGGACATGCATGGTGGGAACCACCCTTTCTGAAGGTTCTACAGCACTGAAAAAAATCAGGGAACATATTGGGGCAGCCAAGAAAACAGCTGTCACTTCCAATAATCAATCTGACAAAGTAAGAGTCCTGACCTGACAAGGTGCAGCTTCCTGGGGACTCGTCAGGTTTTTAGGCATAGATGGGGTCACCAATAGCACAGTGTCAGATTTTTGTGCCTTCCTTGGTACCACTTCACACACACTCAGGGTTAACTTACTCGGTAGGGACTTCAAACACCAGTTAATTGGAAACAGTTGGTAACGGCTGTCATTTGTCAGAAAATATTACAAAATGACACAAATAGGATATATTTCACTTAAATAATTTACTTTACACAATAGGCCTTCTGTTGTATTAAAAATTAACTATGCAATGAGGGTGGTTTTATGTTAGCAGCTACTAAATAGCATATGTAAGCACTGGTTTATATACTATTCCTTCTGAAGTGCAATTATTTTTTACTTTATTAGTTGTGTGCATATATCTGCACTTAGTGCACTTTCATATAGTAAACTTAGGACATTTATGTAGATTTTTGTTAATGCATGCCTTTTATTTTATTCAGATTTAACTTGTTTGCAATGAGAGCCACTATCCTGCAAAATGTGTGACGATGTCACCAAAATCTCCCCACTGTGGGACAAATAAAGGATCTCTTATCTTAAAACTCAGCATAGGCAAAGCAACGAGGCCAAAATGTTTTAATAGTTAGACTCAAAAAATGGCCATCAAATCAGACAACATAATACACATGTCAATCTTAAGAAATTCTGACACAAAATACAATTGTATTTGAACAAACTTTTCCTAACCAGTAGACCGCATGAACAGCAGAGCTTACTGTAAGCAAAATATCTATAACTTTCTTTTCAGAGCTGTAATGCGATTTTTCACATAAAACTTGATGCTTAGCCAATCTCTCTTTTTGAGAGCATTTCTTTCCATATCTAGACATTTATCACATTCACTTTTCCGTGGAACTCTGCAGGTTGTGATGAAGGACATCATGTGCCTTTCCACAGCAGCTATTTCCTCCTCGTCCCACTTTTTCTTACCAGGTTGTTTTCCTACAGATCAACAAACAGTAGTTTGGGTTTAACAGTTTTGAGCAACAAACTTCATTGACAAACTTCCAAGATTCATCAGTTTTACCCTTTAACCCTTTCATCTTATTTTGTGTATCTGTAGTCTGCGTAGTTGTCACAGTGTCCTCCTCTGGTGTAGTGCGTGCAGTCTCATTCATTCTTGTGCCTGGATGCCCTGGAGGGAAAAGGGGCGGATTACAGGTAAGGCTGGGCCGTAAATTGAAAGATTGTACATTTAGGCCACAATTAAGTAATAATCACATAGATGTTTTGTGCATTTGTATAAGAAAATTGAATAAACCTTGAAAATGTACCTTTTGCCTCTTTCAGCATTTTTTTTGTTGTTTGTGTGTATCCGCAATCTGCGTAGTTGTCACAGTGTCATCCTCAGTACTGTACTGTACAGTCTCCTTCACTCTTGTGCCTGGATGCTCTAAGGGGGTAAAGAGGGGGATTACCGTTAGGGCGGTGACAAATATAAAGATCATGATTCTGGGAGAGCTTTATTAGTTCATTTTGACCCAAATAAATGTTCTCAGTCCAAACTTCAAAAAGGTTTTCAATTAGCCAATGTTATATAGAAAATGGATGGATGGATGGATGTTATATTTTATATTCAAATGATTGGTGCCTTATTTATTCTTTATGATGTTGAACCAAGATTTAAAATCTAAGTGGGGGGATGGGGGCTTACCTTCCGCGTCCGACTCATGGTCTGTCACATGATCACATGAACCCCCAGGTTCTCCATCTTGGTCACTGTCAAAGTGCACATCCTCTGTGGAGAAAATGAAAGGAAGTGTATGATGGCTCATTTATATTAGAAAAAGCATACAAAAAATATGAATTTGAAAATAAAAGTATATGAATTTGAATGTTTTAATGTGTTGAGTGGCAATTTGCAAATATGAATACCACAATAACCATTTACCTTCTGGATCAATGTTAATGTCATCCAGCGACTTCCCCTTGAATGACGCTAAACGTCCCTGCTCCAGAGCCATGAGAAGTTTGCTGATCTTGGCAAGTTGGAGTGTTCCCTCAGGAAGTCTGTAGAACTGTCTATGTACTCTAATATCATGTCCCAAAAAATCCGCTAGTTGATCCAACTCAGTATTAGTGAGATTAAGGACTTGGGACAGAGTTCCAGTCTGTTTGCGCAGCTTCGTTGAAGTGAGACTTTCTGGGCTTTTAGCGCCACAAACATTTGCAAATTTCCGAAGACAATCAGAGCCTCGGTAACACATCAAACTAGAGGGTCTTGCAAATAGGTATGTGTTCTCTGGAAGAACTCCACATTCCTGTCTTTTGCCGATGAGCAGATCCAATGTTTGTTGCATTGTCGGAGTCAAAAGAACAGGTACCTTTCTTCCCCGTTTGCCTCTAATTTCCAGTCTTCGGAAGTGCTGACAGAGTCTTTTCTCTAAATCTGAAAGCGCAACAGTCACGTCTTCCTGTGGCTCTGACACATTAGGAGATGAATAGGCTGATAGAGACATTTTGGATACTTCTCCAGCCCTGCGTCTGTTAAACAAAATGACTTGGGGTCAAAATGATCTTTGTCAGCTGCGTATACGTCTGGCTAGCGGTATCTGAGCTCAACTTTTGGAAAAGGTCTTGTTGCTCAGCATCCAAAAATGTATGTAGTGTCTGGACATCTTTCGTGAATGGTAGTAACTGTGGAGTGTTCCACTTGGACTCCTGAAGCGTTCTGAGAGACGCAGATGATATTAGCTCATTCCACCTAGATTCATAAACACTGCGGAATCTTCGAGCGTCATTTGCTGCACTTTCATCGCCTTGCACATTGGCACGGCTTTCAACAAGCAGGGACACTTTTTTTAAGCTGTATCCTATTTTTAAGGCTAGACTCGGGCAGCTGTAAGTACACTTCTCTGAATCGTACCCAGCAATCACTTGTACAGCTTGGACAAGATGCAAAAAATTTGCAGGTTTAATATGCTCTGCAATTGTCGTCAACTGAGTGTTTTTCCTTGAACACAGCAGCAGTCTTCCAAGCTCTCTCAGTTTCTGACGGATGTACTCGTGTTTGTTGTGATCATGCCCAAGCCTATTGTAGAGATGCTCACCATATTCTATTATGCAGGAATCAGACTTGACTGCACGGTACACATCATCATGCACCATGTTGTTGAGTAGCTTCCACAACTGATGCTTTATTCCAGGAGGGGGAGGTGTTGCAAAGCCACAGAGGGCCTGGACACGTGTTCTGCCGGGTTTCAATGGAATGCACGGTTTGAACTTGCACAGCTTCATGTGCCTCCAAAGGACTTTCCTCAGAAAAAGGCCCTGACAATATGAACAGTGCAGAAAGTTTTCAGCTTTAGCATCATCTTTGGGCTGCTTCCGTGGCACAAGTGTTCCAACGCCTGAATTCAAAACCTCAACATTGTGTGCAAAATTGCCCTTGTTTCTTAGATGTTCCATCTGCATTCGTCTTTCTTTTGAGTTTTTTGGGAAGGACACAGCCCGAGCTACTTCTAACTCGCTTTGATGGGCCCTTTCCAAATGCCTTGCCATCTTTATAACTCCCTCCTTACAGTATAAACAGTATTGCTTTTTGTTGTAATTTCTGGAGCCATTGTCTTTTTTACAAATAGCAGGTATGAAGAGTGAGTCACTTGAGGTATGTGTTTGCTCAGAATCTGCATTTTCCAAAATTGCTTCAGTGACTTGTCCTTGTGTTTTTTTTCCAGGATTGACATTGCTCGTTTGTGTTGAATTAAGACGTCTTCTACGACTCCTGCTTTGTTTTCTCACAGGCGATCTCCCTCTCTCACTTGTTGGGTTTAGAAAAGTAGTGTCCAGTCCTTGCAGTGATCGTGACCGTTTTCCCATATCCGGAAATCTAAGCTTGTTTACTTTATCAGTCATGCTGATCTCACTTGAGTCTATCTTCTGACGAGTCTTGTCCACTCTTTGGTATATACTCCTCTCCACTGTCATCTGAGGTGGGATCAAATAGCTCATCCGAATCAAAATCAAGGCGCCCTCTCATCTTTAAAATAAAAAAAGCAGAAAATTAAAAAGTATTACGGAGATTCATTATTTTTCTAGACGTTTTGCAGTGCATACCTCTATGCTTTTTGTTCTCCTTAACCTAGGACAAGACTGGTCAGCAGCGGTCAGGTGACAATCAGAGGATGGACTCCATGTCTGTGGTTCAAAAAAGGTTAGGTTACTTTAGCACCAAGATGAGATAAAAATGTATAAAATCCTTGAAAAAGATGAGCACAAATTTAAACAATGAAACACAGATTGCGCACTTCCAATTATAACACCCAAAGCTACACTGACTTAGAATGGACGTCAAAACATAAAAAAATGTGGACGCAGACACCGTAAATGGATACTTAAAGGGTGTTTATTAAACGAAGATAAACCCAAAGTACCAAAGTAACAATAATAATGAGGTGTGTCTGTATCAGGGGTGTGTGCGAGTGAATGGTTGTGTGTTCGTATGGTGCGATGTGAAGTGTGATGCAGAACAAAACCATAACGGGAACAGAAAACAAAGTGGTGTGGCACAGGACGGAGGCTGGGAGAGAGTGAGGCTGTCAGCCGGCCGGTCCATAAATAGGCGTGGCGCGTCGGGCCCTGACGCTCCACGCTCCGCCCACAGCTCCACCTGTACAGAGGTAGATGGCAGTACAGAGCACGGCCACAGAGAGGAGGAAGAGGTCGTGACACCCCCCCTCATAAAGAAGGAGAGTCTCCCTAAGAGAATCACCGTGCCTAAACGAGACACCCCCACAACCAAGTGACAAAAATACAAAACAGACCATAATACCACCACCAATGCTTCCATTCATCCACCTCAAACCACCCCTAACACACTCCGGCGCCTAGAGGGAATGCGAAAAGGAAAACAAGGTAAATCAACAAAAACAAAATTTAGCTCAATCCAAGGGTGCCCGCGATAAAGCATCGGCCATTATATTATTCTGACCCTTGATGTACCGAATATCAAGGTCGTAAGCCTGTAAAAGCAATGACCATCTAATGAGTCTTTGGTTTGGACACCTCAGAGACCGTAAAAAAGTTAAAGGGTTGTGATCTGTGTAAACCACTAGGGGCGCTGACCCACCCAAATAAACTTCAAAATGTTGTAATGCCCATATTAAGGCAAGGGCCTTCTTCTCAATAACTGAATAATTTGCCTGATGTCTGTTGAACTTCTTGGAAAAAAAAACAAACTGGCTTTGTTACCCCCTGGTCATCCTCCTGGAGGAGAACTGCACCCGCGCCCACCCGGCTGGCATCAGCCTGGAGCACGAAAGGCCTGTTAAAACAAGGAGCTGACAAAATGGGGTGAGAACAAAGCAGCGCTTTAACACTCTCAAAGGCTTGCTGACAGTCAGAGGACCATAAAATCTTTGCTCTGGCTTTCAGCAACTCTGTCAGAGGGAACACAACAGTAGAGACATTTTTACAGAAGCTCCTATAATATCCCACTAACCCCAGGAAACGTTGAAGCTCCTTCTTAGTGGCTGGCGGGGGAAAGTCAGCGACAGCTAAAATCTTAGCGTGCACAGGCGCTACTTTACCCTGCCCCACCACACGTCCGAGGTATGTCACCGTAGCTCTGGCAAACTCGCATTTCGCTAAGTTCACGGTGAGATGCGCGTCTGCCAGACGCTCAAACAAAGATCGTATGCGCCGAAGATGAGAGTGCCAAGTGTCACTATACACGACCAAATCGTCCAGGTACACAGAGCACCCCTCCAAGCCAGCAACCACTCTATTCATAAGCCGCTGAAACGTGGCCGGAGCGTTCTTTAGACCAAAGGGCATAACAGTGTAGGAATAAAGGCCAGAAGGTGTCACAAAGGCCGCAATTTCCTGCGCACGTTTGGACAATGGCACCTGCCAGATGCCTTTTAACAGATCGAACTTAGACACAAATTTGGCTGAACCTACGCGGTCAATACAGTCATCCATTCTGGGCAACGGAAAAGAATCAGATTTTGTCACTGAATTAACCTTACGCATGTCAGTGCAAAAACGAGGCGTGCCATCAGCCTTCGGAACCAGAATGCACGGTGAAGCCCAACTCGAACCAGACGGACCTGCAATATTATTTTTGAGCATGTAATCAATCTCCTTATCCAAGTACTTTTGCTTCCCGGGAGCCACACGGTAAAACCTTTGTTTTATTGGCTGAGCATCACCGACATCAGTATCATGCTCCATCCACGTGGTTCGAGAAGGGATATCACCAAACAACTGACGATAACTCTTTATCAATCGGGACATCTCACAACACTGCATCTCAGACAGATAAGACAGTAATGCGTGCAGTTTGCCCAACGACTCTGAGTTCTTCAAACGGCCACACAACAAGCTGTCATCCGGCTCCAGGACACTATCCTTCGGAGCTAAAATCACAGTATCAACGGCCAGCGCAGGACGCACGGGGCCATCCCCCCCATGGGCCTCTACGATCGGGGCACGCCGATAATAAGGCTTTAACAGGTTTACATGACAGAGTTGTGTAGACTTTCTCCTGCCTGGTGTCGCAATCAAATAGTTCAAATCAGTCACCTTTTCCGTAACAGTATATGGACCAGTGAATTTAGCCTGAAACGGAGACGTCACAACAGGTGTAAGAGGAAGGACCTGATCTTCTGGACTAAACTCATGTAACTCCGAACGACAATCATACACATACTTCATTTTCTTTTGGGATTGCTGCAGCTTTTCCTTAGCCATAAATAAACGATGACGAAAACCATTAACAAAATCAATCAAGTTTTTTGGCGGTGCGGCCTCCAACAAACCATGTTTTAATGCAGCCAAAGGGCCGCGGACTGAGTGGCCAAAAACAAGTCTGTTTGGGCTGAACCCCGTACTCTCCTGGACAGCTTCTCTCGCAGCTAACATGAGCCAAGGGGGAACCCTTCTTCCCAGTCCCTCTGAAGCTCCGTGCAATACGTAAACAGTAGAGACTTGAGCGTCTGATGAAAGCGCTCCAACGCACCCTGACTCTGCGCATGATAGGCTGTGGACTGATTGTGTTTTACGCCAAGTGATTTTAAAACTTGCGCAAACATGTGAGACGAAAAGTTAGACCCACGGTCACTTTGAATCACTCTAGGAATACCAAAAACTGATATAAACTGTGACAGCGCTTTTACCACGGCTTTTGTCGTGATTGACCTTAATGGGAATGCCGCTGGATAACGCGTACTTTGACACATTATCGTGAGACGGTATTTACAGCCAGATCTTGCAACGGGCAGCGGACCAACACAGTCAATAATGAGATATTCAAACGGCTCGCCCATAGCCGGAATAGGCTGCAACGGTGCACGTTTTATCTTCTGGTTTGGCTTTCCAGTCAACTGACACACATGACACGTTTTAATGAAAGCTGAAACGTCCTTTTTAACGCGAGGCCAAAAAAAATGTTTAAGCAAATTCAAGTATGTTTTACGCACGCCAAAGTGACCCGTCTCCTCATGAGCAACCTTCAACACCACAGAACGATATTCAGCAGGGACAACAAGCTGAAATAAAGCATCGCGCACACCCAGATCACTCAGAGAACTCCACTTCCTAAACAGTATTTCGTTTTGGACAAAGTAACCATTCGCCAGACTGTCAATTTCGCCAGCAGGCCCAACCGAATCAAATAAACTTTTTAATGTGGGATCACTACGCTGATTTTGTACAAATTCCTTGTGGTTCACATGCAACGGGAAATGCGCCAGAGACGAGAGATTTTGCCCTTCACCGGGAGACACCAAATCTAACTCTGCTTTACGCATGGCGCGTGTGACCGCACATGCAGAGAATACATCCTGAAGAGGAGGAGGACACTCTTCAAAAGTGGGTGGACAACATGTCACAACAGGTGAGACTGCAAGTGGTCTAGGTGACAGCTTTGAGTCTGTACCCACAAGTGCACTCGGGGTGGTATGCACGTCTGTCCAGATGCGGCTCCCTGCCAAACCATTGCCAAGGATAAAATCAATCCCGTCAATCGGCAATGCCGGGCGCACACCCACACACACTGGGCCACACACAAGCTCACACTCTACAACCATCTCATGCAGCGGAATGGGCAACAGAGTTAGCCCCATGCCTCGACTCAGAATAAAATCACCTGTTGCAGTGTCAGAAGAAAATGGCAACACAGAGCTCACTACATAAGAATCATGGGCCCCTGTGTCCCGCAGGATTTTGATTGGTAATTTGGTTTCACTCCCGATGAGAGACAAAACTGATAAACGGCGCATATGAACTCAACAAGTCACTGTCAAAAAAATCAGACGTAGTGTCAGATGCAGCCAATGTTTTACTAACGGGCGCTGCCAAAGTGGCAGGCTTCACATTTGATTTACCCGTATAATTTTTTGACTTCAAAATTGGACAGTCCACCTTAAAATGGCCTTTCTCACGGCAATAATTGCACACCTTAACGGAGTCAAAATGTGAACGAGACTCTCCATTACTTTTAGCAGTAACCGCTGCCGTAGGATTTTCACGTTTCCAATCCGTGCGCACAGAAGTACGGTCCTTGACACTGTTCTTATGTATTAAAACATATTCGTCCGCCAAAGTAGCAGCTTCCAAAGCCGTAGACATTTTCCGTTCATTTAAATAAGTAAGAAGTCGTTCGGGGAGCGTGCTTTTAAACTGCTCCAAAATAATAAGATCACAAAGCCCATCAAAATCAGCAACATCTAAAGCCAATAACCAGCGTTTAAAGTGGGTAACAAGATCTCTAGCAAACTCGACATGGGTTTGGCCATATTTTTTATCCCAGGACCTAAAACGTTGCCGGTAAGCCTCTGGAACTAGCTTGTATGCTTTGAGAACTGTGGATTTAATGGTGTCATAATTTAGACAATCTTGCTCACTCAAAGAAGAATATGCCTGTTGTGCTTTTCCCGTAAGAACTGATTGGAGCATAATTGCGCACTCTGCATCTGACCAATTTTTAGCTTTTGCTATTCTCTCAAATAAAAGAAAAAATGTGTCAGGATCTTTCTCATTAAAATGTGGAAACCACCTCAGATAACTCGCATCACACCGGCGAGACTGAGCCGTATCCTCCAACGACTGTCGCCTGTCCTCACGCTGTAGACGAATCCGTTCCATCTCCACTTGCTGCTTATTATTTTCAAGCTGCAACAATAAGAGTTCCTGCTGCTGAAATTTGAGGCCTTGACTGTGGACAGATTGCTCCGCCCCCGGAGTCAAAAGATCCAGGCCTACCAACCTTTCCTCCAACAGGGTTTTAATTTCAACTTTCTTGAGATCACTCAGAGAACTCCACTTCCTAAACAGTATTTTGTTTTGGACAAAGTAACCATTCGCCAGACTGTCAATTTCGCCAGCAGGCCCAACCGAATCAAATAAACTTTTTAATGTGGGATCACTACGCTGATTTTGTACAAATTCCTTGTGGTTCACATGCAACGGGAAATGCGCCAGAGACGAGAGATTTTGCCCTTCACCGGGAGACACCAAATCTAACTCTGCTTTACGCATGGCGCGTGTGACCGCACATGCAGAGAATACATCCTGAAGAGGAGGAGGACACTCTTCAAAAGTGGGTGGACAACATGTCACAACAGGTGAGACTGCAAGTGGTCTAGGTGACAGCTTTGAGTCTGTACCCACAAGTGCACTCGGGGTGGTATGCACGTCTGTCCAGACGCGGCTCCCTGCCAAACCATTGCCAAGGATAAAATCAATCCCGTCAATCGGCAATGCCGGGCGCACACCCACACACACTGGGCCACACACAAGCTCACACTCTACAACCATCTCATGCAGCGGAATGGGCAACAGAGTTAGCCCCATGCCTCGACTCAGAATAAAATCACCTGTTGCAGTGTCAGAAGAAAATGGCAACACAGAGCTCACTACATAAGAATCATGGGCCCCTGTGTCCCGCAGGATTTTGATTGGTAATTTGGTTTCACTCCCGATGAGAGACAAAACTGATAAACGGCGCATATGAACTCAACAAGTCACTGTCAAAAAAATCAGACGTAGTGTCAGATGCAGCCAATGTTTTACTAACGGGCGCTGCCAAAGTGGCAGGCTTCACATTTGATTTTACCCGTATAATTTTTTGACTTCAAAATTGGACAGTCCACCTTAAAATGGCCTTTCTCACGGCAATAATTGCACACCTTAACGGAGTCAAAATGTGAACGAGACTCTCCATTACTTTTAGCAGTAACCGCTGCCGTAGGATTTTCACGTTTCCAATCCGTGCGCACAGAAGTACGGTCCTTGACACTGTTCTTATGTATTAAAACATATTCGTCCGCCAAAGTAGCAGCTTCCAAAGCCGTAGACATTTTCCGTTCATTTAAATAAGTAAGAAGTCGTTCGGGGAGCGTGCTTTTAAACTGCTCCAAAATAATAAGATCACAAAGCCCATCAAAATCAGCAACATCTAAAGCCAATAACCAGCGTTTAAAGTGGGTAACAAGATCTCTAGCAAACTCGACATGGGTTTGGCCATTTTTTTATCCCAGGACCTAAAACGTTGCCGGTAAGCCTCTGGAACTAGCTTGTATGCTTTGAGAACTGTGGATTTAATGGTGTCATAATTTAGACAATCTTGCTCACTCAAAGAAGAATATGCCTGTTGTGCTTTTCCCGTAAGAACTGATTGGAGCATAATTGCGCACTCTGCATCTGACCAATTTTTAGCTTTTGCTATTCTCTCAAATAAAAGAAAAAATGTGTCAGGATCTTTCTCATTAAAATGTGGAAACCACCTCAGATAACTCGCATCACACCGGCGAGACTGAGCCGTATCCTCCAACGACTGTCGCCTGTCCTCACGCTGTAGACGAATCCGTTCCATCTCCACTTGCTGCTTATTATTTTCAAGCTGCAACAATAAGAGTTCCTGCTGCTGAAATTTGAGGCCTTGACTGTGGACAGATTGCTCCGCCCCCGGAGTCAAAAGATCCAGGCCTACCAACCTTTCCTCCAACAGGGTTTTAATTTCAACTTTCTTGAGGCCTCCCTCAAATTCCACCCCATAATGATCAGCCAGTTTTATCAAATGTTCCTTTCTTAATTTTTTTTAAAGTTTCCAACTAGGTGAAGCAATAAACAACTCAACATCAGACATCTTATCAAATATTTAACGTAATCCAAACCAGACCAAAAGAAATGTACCCAGGCCTAGTCAGTCTCTGCCAAGAAATTTGTGCAACCAGAGGCCACAGCCTCGGCGGAAGAGCTTCCCTGCTATTCTAACGCAGGATCCAACTGTCTAAGCTCCCCCCTAGTCTTCGTGCGACCTCATATGGTGGGTATTTATGCGCTGTAGCCCGATGGGCCAGGAGACTAGCGAGCTGCAGCCAACTGGACACCACGGATGCGCTCCCAAGCAATGCTTCAGCCACGTTCGCACGCACGTCCAACACAGGGTACAGCGTCCACTACACAAGGAAATGAACAGCGAAACACGCAAACTACAAAAGAAACAGGTTCAAAACGCGACGAGCCCCCAATATGTCATAACCTGGCTCAAGGCCATGACAAATGTGGACGCAGACACCGTAAATGGATACTTAAAGGGTGTTTATTAAACGAAGATAAACCCAAAGTACCAAAGTAACAATAATAATGAGGTGTGACTGTATCAGTGGTGTATGCGAGTTAATGGTTGTGTGTTCGTATGGTGCGATGTGAAGTGTGATGCAGAACAAAACCATAACGGGAACAGAAAACAAAGTGGTGTGGCACAGGACGGAGGCTGGGAGAGAGTGAGGCTGTCAGCCGGCCGGTCCATAAATAGGCGTGGCGCGTCGGGCCCTGACGCTCCACGCTCCAAGGTCCGCCCACAGCTCCACCTGTACAGAGGTAGATGGCAGTACAGAGCACGACCACAGAGAGGAGGAAGAGGTCGTGACAATTATTATTCTAAATTGTAGGTTTAATATGTTTTAGCAGCTAGAACATGATGTAGTGCTGTTGTCACGGTGATCTTCCTGGTTTTCCACAGCTGATCTACGAGAGCTTCACCCGTTACCTGGTGGAACACAAAGGCTATGACAAGGAGCTGCTGGACCTCACGCCTGCCACCTGGGACTTCTGGTCTGTACGACACACTATACACACACTACACACACTACACACACTACACACACACTACACACACACTACACACACTCTACACACACTATACACACAATATACACACACTACACACACTATACACACACTATACACACTATACACACACTACACACACCTGCCACCTGGGACTTCTGGTCTGTACTACACACTACACACACTATACACACACACTATACACACACACTATACACACACACTATACACACACTACACACACACTATACACTATACTCACGGGGAGTGTGTTGTGTCCTCAGCTTCAAAGGCCTGGTGGTGGATCTGGAAGAGGGAATCCTGGTGAAATTGGCCGAAGATGGAACTGTTCTAAGGTCAGAACAAAAACAACAAAAACCATTTAGTCTCTTACTGGTCTCTGGAATGATGGTCTTTCATGTTAAGATTCTTTGGCTGATCTTGTTCTGGTCTCGGCCCTGGTCTCGGCCCTGGTCTCGGCCCTGGTCTCGGCCCTGGTCTCGGCCCTGGTCTCGGCCCTGGTCTCGGCCCTGGTCTCGGCCCTGGTCTCGGCCCTGGTCTCGGCCCTGGTCTCGGCCCTGGTCTCGGCCCTGGTCTCGGCCCTGCCCTCGGCCCTGCCCTCGGCCCTGGTCTTGGTCCTGCCCTCAGTCTGTCCTGTTCTCGGTCCTGCCCTCAGTCTGTCCTGTTCTCGGTCCTGTTCTCGGTCCTGTTCTCGGTCCTGTTCTCGGTCCTGTTCTCGGTCCTGTTCTCGGTCCTGTTCTCGGTCCTGTTCTCGGTCCTGGTCCTGGTCTCGGTCCTGGTCTCGGTCCTGGTCTCGGTCCTGGTCTCGGTCCTGGTCTCGGTCCTGCCCTCGGTCCTGCTCTCGGTCCTGCTCTCGGTCCTGCTCTCGGTCCTGCCCTCGGTCCTGCCCTCGGTCCTGCTCTCGGTCCTGCTCTCGGTCCTGCTCTCGGTCCTGCTCTCGGTCCTGCTCTCGGTCCTGCTCTCGGCCCTGCTCTCGGCCCTGCTCTCGGCCCTGCTCTCGGTCCTGCTCTCGGTCCTGCTCTCGGTCCTGCTCTCGGCCCTGCTCTCGGTCCTGCTCTCGGCCCTGCTCTCGGTCCTGCTCTCGGTCCTGCTCTCGGTCCTGCTCTCGGTCCTGCTCTCGGCCCTGCTCTCGGTCCTGCTCTCGGCCCTGCTCTCGGTCCTGCCCTCGGTCCTGCTCTCGGTCCTGCTCTCGGTCCTGCTCTCGGTCCTGCTCTCGGTCCTGCTCTCGGCCCTGCTCTCGGTCCTGCTCTCGGCCCTGCTCTCGGTCCTGCTCTCGGTCCTGCTCTCGGTCCTGCTCTCGGTCCTGCTCTCGGTCCTGCCCTCGGGCCTGCCCTCGGTCCTGCCCTCGGTCCTGCTCTCGGTCCTGCCCTCTGTCCCCAGGTTTAACCCTAACCCGAAAGCATTCTTTTGAAATGTAAACACAGATTAGGATTAAGGTTAGTTTGAACTTAAATTTGAAAGTTGAATCTTGTGTTCTGTGTTTGGACTCAGAGCGACTCGCGGGACCAAAGACCTGACCCCTGAGGACCTGCTGAGACTCTACGGTCCCGCACCGGAGTGGAAGCACTTCCAGAGCCTCAACTCCTCCTTCACCAGATCCGGTAAACTCCACCGATACTGTCACGGCTTCATTATCAATCCATTTTATTTATAGAGTCCTTTACAACACACAGAGCGACCAAAGTGCTTTACATAAAATCCATTCATACATTTATGCATCAAACAATAAAACAGTTAAAGGAGCAGTCTGTAAAATGTGGCCAAAAGTGGTACTGCAGCCTCTCCCACTCTCCCTGACTCAGGTTGCCAGATATGCAGACGAATCCAGCTGGGACCATAACAGCTGAATAGACAAGAGTTTTGTCAACAACAAATCTATAACCAACACCTTTTTCACAAAGATAGAAATCCTGCTTTTATTCCTTGTTTTGTCGTTAATGATTTGAGAATCATAACGAGACCTTTTTTAGTTCTGCGCCACATGGTACTTTACCAGTGAGATTAGCTCCACGCGGTGAGTTCTGGCGCCCGGATCACAGACTTTCTGATTGGTGAAACGGTGGAGGGCGGGACATCGAAATAAAAACAATAACAAGATTTAGGGGCTGTAAAAGCAATTTAGAAATTCAAATATCTCTGAACTACTGTTATCAGACAGATTAGGGCCCTTTAATGATAACATGAGATGAAAATCTTAAATATTGCTACTTTAAAAAACGTTAAAGTGTCACCGTGCTAATTAGGGGTGCAACGGTTCATCACTGATCCGTGAACCGTTCGGTTCAACGTCTTCGGTTCGGTACACACGTGATCCGCGGTTTAATTTATGGAGAAAAAAAACTGCGCGCACGTTGTTCATTCCACACACAGCGTGGTCATGGCGAGCGGAGGAGCTGGAAAGTCCCGCGTCATTTAAATCCCCTGTATGGAAGCATTTTGGCTTCCCTGTCAACTGTACTGACGATGGCAAAAGGTTAGTCGACAAAACTGTCACGGTGTGTAAGCACTGTGGCACAAGAATAACATACGAAAGTGGAAGTACTTCGAACATGGCCACGCATATGAAGCGACATCACCCCAGCGTTTCACTATCAGGAGGGAAAACAAAAGCTCCTCAACAACCGCTCATTGCCGCGTCATTTAAGCAGCCCCTTCATGCACAGTCAGACCGGGCTAAAGTCATAACAAACGCTATCGGTGTGTTTATAGGTGCAGACATGAGGCCATATTCGGTTGTAGAAAACGAGGGCTTTAAACACATGCTGAAAGTGCTTGAGCCACGTTACAACATCCCATCGCGCACCCACTTCAGCGAAAAGATTGTGCCAGGGCTTTATGAGCAAGAGAAGAAAAAAGTTGTGGATGAACTATCCCGCGCATCTGCAGTTGCGCTAACGACTGACGGTTGGACGTCCAGGGGAACGGAGAGTTATGTCACAATAACTGCTCACTTCATCACCGCAGACTGGGAGATGAGAAGTCCGGTGCTGCAGACACGCCCCCTCTACCAAAGTCACACAGGCACACATCTTGCGCAGGTACTGTCACAAGCAGTGGAGGAATGGAAGATAAATAGGCCCAGTATTAATATCCCTGTCACCACTGATAATGCCAAAAATCAAATAAATGCAGTCAATGAGGCAGGACTGGGCCCACAGATAGGGTGCTTTGCACATGTAGTGAATTTGGCATCACAGAAGGGAATCTCAGTCAATAAGATGGACCGCCTGCTTGGGAGAATCAGGAAGGTGGTTTCCTACTTCCACCGAAGCACAACAGCTGCTAATGTGCTTAAGACAAAGCAAGAAATGCTAAAGCTGCCTTCTCATAAGCTCATACATGATGTCCCAACAAGGTGGAACTCCACTTATGATATGTTGGAGCGTTATCTGGAGCAGCAGGTAGCTATATACTCTGCATTGACTGACAAGACCCTGAAGAAAAATGTCAAAGACATTGTCACCCTGTCTGATGATGATGTGAAAGTGGCAGAGGAGGTCCTCCAGGTGCTTAAACCCCTCAAAACTGTTACATCCCTGCTAAGCACTGAAACTTCACCCTCAGTGTCAATGATCCTGCCACTGAAAACAAGGATTCTACAATCTATGGCTTCAAGTGTGGAAGACAGCACCATCACTCGAGATGTCAAGACTGCCATTAGAGAAGACCTGCTGCCCAGATACACTTCACCCCCTACTCTGCAGGACTTCCTTCACAGATCTACAGCGCTGGACCCAAGGTTCAAGTCCCTGTCTCACATGGACCCTGCCCTACGTCAGAGGACATACAGTGACCTCACCTCTGAGATTCTGAGCACTGAAGACTGTGATGAGGTAAAGAAAACAAATATTATAATAACAAATTTAAGAATTTGAATACATGTTTTTAATTTAAGTAATAATGACTTATTTTTTTGTTATTTGAAACAAAAATAAATAATGGGTTTAGTAAATAAACAATTTTATTTTCTGCAGGGTCAAGCTGCAGAGCCAACAGGAGCAAGCCTGGACACATCTCCTCCACAAAAGAAGTCAGCCATGGCAGAGCTTTTTGGAGAGACCTTTGTCAGCTTAGAGATGGACAGCAAGAATCCTTCTGTCATCATCAAAGAGGAGGTGGCCTCCTACATGGCAGCAAGTGGCATTACAGTTGATGGTGATCCACTGACATGGTGGAAAAGGAATCAGAGTAAATACCCTCATATTGCCAAGCTGGCAAGATACTATCTCGCTGTGCCAGGCTCTTCGGTTCCTTCGGAGAGAGTGTTCTCAACGGCAGGGGACATAGTGACTGCAAAGAGGTCCACACTCTCCCCAGACAATGTAGACATCCTTGTCTTTTTGAAAAAGAATTTGAAATTATAAGTTCAGGTATGCTTCGCTGTCTTTCCATGTTTCACGAGAGATGATGTGTTTTCTTATGTTGCACTTTAAGTCGTTTTTCATTCATTATGTTAAAAAGAAGTTATGCCTTGTGCACTTTAAGTTGTATTTAAATGTTTTTATTTAATAGTAATAAAGTGTTCATAAAAAAGACAAAACTGTTTTTTTTGCTGAACCGAAAAATGAACCGAACCGTGGCCTCTGAACCGAGGTACGAACCGAACCGTGATTTTTTCAAACCGTTGCACCCCTAGTGCTAATGAGAGTTAAAATGTCTGTTTTCTTTATATTATTTGGTTAATTGTTTGAATATAACAGAAAAAACATTCAGTGTTGCTGCCCGTCCGAGATCCATCAAGTCACAAACAGCTATGTTTACAATGCAATAAAATACACATTACAGACTGTTTTCAAACTAAAAAACATGTTTGCTAGAAAAATATATTTTTTGTTCACCTTTTTAAGGCAACAAAGCATTTGAATTCATTGTTTCACATTTTAAAGTTTTAAATACATACAGTGGGGCAAAAAAGTATTTAGTCGGCCCCCAGTTGTGTAAGTTCTCCCAGTTAAAAATATGAGAGATGCCTGTAGTTTCCATCACAGATAAACCTCAACTATGAGAGATCAGGATCACATTGTCTGATTTTTACAGACAAAAAGAAATAAGTTTGGCTGAGACGTTATGTTTACCCTTTATGCGCCAGAGGTTTTTTCCTACGAAGCTCAATTGCCCTCAGTCCTGCCCTCGGCCCCGCCCTCGGTCCTGCCCTCGGCCCCACCCTCAGTCCTGCCCTCGGCCCCGCCCTCCGTCCTTAGCTGAGACGTTATGTTTACCCTTTATGCGCCAGAAGTTTTTTTCCTAAGAAGCTCAATTTTGACAATTTAATTTCTTAATAACTCAAAGGCTTGATCTCTTTTCACTTTTATGTAAATGAGAGAAATGATCAGGAATGTAATGTGCCCATCTAATTTGCATATTTTGAAGTCATACTGTGGTGGCAATCTGGGATTTTCCTGAAATATATATATTTTCTTTACCGACAGACACACATCACTCGTTTCACCCTGAATATAATCTTTGTGGGTTTTTTTGCAGCTAAATATTATTTCTACGACAACTACTTCGACCTGCCCGGAGCGCTTCTTTGTGGGAGAGTTTTCGACATGTTTCAAAAGGTATGAGTGATGTTTGGAGATTATTCAAATTAAGATTAAGAGATCCCGCAGTGGGGACATTTCAGTGTTGTATCAGCAGTTACAGAACAGTAGGAATGAGGAGCACACAGCAAGTATACAATCTACTACTTTAGCATAATATAGAAGCAAGAATTCGCCTCTCAGCAAGAAGATCCTGGGTTTGAATCCCGGTCGGAACGGAGTCTTTCTGAGTGGAGTTTGCATGTTCTCCCCGTGCTTGCGTAGGTGTCCTCTGGGTACTTTATCTACTTCTTATCCTGCCCTATATGTACAGTATATAACTCTGCATACATATATATATGATTTTATTTTGGAAGGCTGCTATCGAAGCATTTATAGATATTTAAGAAACATAGCTACTACTTATTTTGTGTGCTCCCTGTGTGTCTCTTACTGTCCTGTCTGTGCGCTGCAACATTGAAATTTCCCCACTGTGGGACAGATAAAGGATTTCTTATCTTATCTTACTCCGGTTTCCCCTACCACTAAAAACATGCACAGTAGGTTAAATCCTCCAGCTCTGGTCCTGAGCAAGCCGAGCATCAAGATCTGGAGGTGGGTTCCTGGGCGCTGTTACTACGGCGACCACTGCTCCTGACCTAAGCCTTAACGGCATCAGGATGGGTCAAATGCAGTGCACCTTTACCTTTTAGAATTAAGTATAACATCTCTAACTTTAATTGAATCAATCAATTAAATGGCTCTCGATTATTTAGCTATTTGTAATATCAGTTCATACACTTATCTCCCTATAACAATAATCACCTTAAAACGTCCAAATAGATCTAAAAGTCCAGTTATGTGCCGTGTTTTTGTTTTTTCATGTGGTGTGTGTTGTTTTTGCAGCAAGGGAGAGAGGTGACCGCAGACTTTTGGAAGGACATGGTGGCGGCCATCGACCACAACTACAACACGTCTGCGTTTAAAGGTAAGGATCCTTCTGCTGTTATCATTGTTTGGATACTTTCATGGTTTTTGAGCACGGAATAGTCTTGGGTGTGTGTGTTTTGGTCTATGTCTGTTTGATTCAGAGCTGGCTGGTCAAAAATATCAAAAAACAGAAACTTAAAGCTAGTTTTTGAGCTAGAAACCTATTTTAGCATGTATCAATGCTACTTTTTATATAAATACATCTAGATTTTGCAGTGGCTGGCTCTTTGACACATTTGATGAGGAGCTTGGAGTAGAGCCGCTGCTTCTCGAAAGACGCTGGAGGGACTATGTCTCTCAGCAGGTCTGGGAACACCGCAGGATTCCCCCAGATGAGCTGGAGGAAGTGTGTGTGGGGAGGGAAGTCTAGACTGCTGCCCCCGTGAGCCGGCAATGGATTAAGGGGAAGAAAATGGATGGATGGAAGTGTGTGATCTAGATAAGAACCTGGTAGTATCGTTAAAAATACTTATGTTAAAAATAGTACTGTTAAAACCACAACTATTGCTTGAAATCTGGTGTTTGTAAAACCTGGACATAGGATTGTAAAACCGTTTTCTAAAATGTTCAGAAATTCACACAAAACATAACTTATTATCAAACTTTATTGTGTCTTTTGGTGTTTTTTGGACTCACTCATTCAACAGGGAATAGTCTTTGATACTTTTTTCTCACAGTGGTTGTACAAATGTTTTGGAGAGTGAACCGATGTCGTTCTGTATATCACATTTCAATATTCAGACAAAAGACATAACAATAAAACACAAAGAATAGAGGCTGTAAATGTTACAGGCAGATGTAGAGCACCTTAAATCTCCATTGAGACTTATTTCTTTCTGCTAAGGCCCAGCGTGGGAACTGTGGCGGGGTTTTAAACATCTCTTTTTCAAACATTTCAAAGCTTTCTTTTGCCTTTAATGTTCTATTCGGACAAATTGAGGCAAATCTGTGAAAATAACAATGATTTCTGAGCTCATCAGTTTAGTGGACTTTGGAAACTTTGGTCTTCCTTCTCTGAGCAGTTCGATTTGATCAAAGATTTTGAGGTTTAGTGATGATTTAGTGAAATCACGTGGAGGCGATCAGGAAGCCAGAGAAAACACAGTGGACGTTGTCGGCGGCGAAGATGCCGTTGCTCTCCTCGTCTGGGACCTGGATGTAGACGCGGTCTCCGGGCTGCAGCATCAGCACCGCGCTGCCGGACATCTGGTCCAGGAAACCCTTGTTGTACTCGTCGTAGCTGAAGACCTGAGGCTCGTCGTTCTTGTACAGAGCCACCAGAGCGTTGGCGCCGTTCACGTGCATGTGGTAGCTGAAGTAGTAGAGACCGGACACTTGGCAGGTGAAGACGCCGCTGTGCTCGTCGTAGTGCTGCTCGCCGTTGTACAGGACCTGGTTGAACTGGATGGGGACCTGAGCCGCGGGGTAGGCGTGAGTGAGCACCGCGCTGAAGGCAGACATGGGGGCCTTCATCATCTCGTGGGGCATGACCACCTCATGAGACTTGATGGGCATGGCCTTCTCATGGTGGTAAATCATCTCCCCTGGGGGTCCGGGAGGGCCGGGGGGGCCAACGGGGCCTGGAAGACCATCGTGACCTCTGGATCCAGGGTTTCCTGGTGGACCCATAGGACCAACAACACCTTTAGCGGTCATACCAGCGGGACCTGGAGGACCTGGAAGTCCAGAGTGACCTTTAAGACCAGCAGGGCCAGCTGGACCAGATGGACCAACTGGGCCCATGGAGCCGGGCATTCCAGGCTCACCAGGTTTGCCAGGAGAGCCAGGGGTACCGGTGTGTCCTTTGTGTCCCTGAGCACCGTTAGATCCAGGCTGTCCTGGGGCCCCAGTGTGGCCCTGAGCACCTTTAGGCCCCTGAGCACCATTGTGCCCTGGGCTTCCCGCAGGGCCGACTGCACCGGGAATACCGGGCTTTCCAGTGAATCCCTGAGCTCCTTGCTCTCCCTTGCTTCCTCTGGGGCCTGGCGCTCCAACCATACCGATGTCTCCCTTTGGTCCGTGTGGGCCTGATTCACCCTGGAATCCTCTTGCACCTTGAGGACCAGCGGGGCCAACAGGACCTGGGGCCCCTGGGTGTCCAGTGAAACCAGTGGGGCCAGGCTCTCCCTTCTGTCCTGTGGTTCCGGGGGTACCAGGGGATCCTCTGCCTCCTGGGGTTCCTGGCTCTCCAGTTTTACCAACACCTGGCATTCCAGGGGACCCTGGCTGCCCAGCTGGCCCCTGGGGGCCTTTAGGGCCCATCTGTCCTGGCAGACCAGGAGTGCCGTCCTGACCTGGTTTCCCTGACGCCCCCATGCCTGGAGCTCCAGTGTGACCTTTGGCTCCTGGCATTCCCATTGGGCCTGGAGCGCCATCTCTTCCTGGTGTTCCAGCCTTACCAGGCTCTCCTGGGTATCCTGGGGAACCGGGTTTTCCCATGCCAGATTTGCCAGGCATTCCAGAGGGGCCCATTGGTCCGACGGGGCCAGAGGGCCCCTGAACACCAGGAACTCCGATGCCTCTCTCTCCTTTGGGACCAGGAAGGCCAGGAATACCAGGGTGTCCCTTCAGACCAGGCTCTCCTCTGTGTCCCATTGCTCCTGGCATGCCAGAAGGACCAGGTTTTCCCACAGATGAAAGTCCAGCAGGTCCAGGGGTCCCAGGGGATCCAGGGGCTCCGCGAGGGCCCATGGCTCCAGTGGCTCCAGGGGCCCCTTTCTCACCAGGATAACCAGTCGCTCCTGGTTTCCCAGAGGATCCGGGGCTTCCGGGTTTGCCAGCTTGTGTGTATCCTGGGGGGCCGGGGGGGCCAGGGGGGCCCTGGGCTCCAGGATGGCCTGTGCCGCTCTTGCCAGGGGGTCCTGGGGGACCCATGGGGCCTGGCTCTCCTGGTGGGCCTTGAGGTCCAGGTTCACCTGCAGAAGTAAAACATGATATAGTTATATTTCTGATGTTCCTGTAGAGAGTTGTCTGTGACCTCCTCAGGAGGAGCCTGTGGCCTCCTCATGAGGAGCCTGTGGCCTCCTCATGAGGAGCCTGTGGCCTCCTCAGGAGGAGCCTGTGGCCTCCTCATGAGGAGCCTGTGGCCTCCTCAGGAGGAGCCTGTGGCCTCCTCATGAGGAGCCTGTGACCTCCTCAGGAGGAGCCTGTGGCCTCCTCATGAGGAGCCTGTGGCCTCCTCAGGAGGAGCCTGTGACCTCAGTCTGGAGTCTCTGAACCTTCAATGATCTGGTTTCTCACATATTTCTGTAAACACATGTTTTTGTCTCTGTTCTCTGTGATAAATAGTCTGAGTGAAAGCTGTTGTCTCTGTCTCCTGTGCAGCGTGTGGCTGTGGTTCAGGCTGTGTCCCGCCACAGAGTGGGTGGAGCCTGAGGGCCCCTTCCTGACCAGCTCAGTGTTGACAGTGCGGTGCACCTGCCCAGACTGTAATCACATGTCTTTGTTTCAGTCTCAGAGATGTTTTATCACAGGTTTCTGCTCTCTGCACTTATTGCACTCAAACTGAGGTTGTTTTTCCTTCGTCACAATTAAGGCCCAGAGCTGGGTGTGTCAGTCATGTGGTCACATCTGTTGGGCAGTTCTGTCAAATCCAGGCTTTTATAGTGTTTATGTGGAGACAAGCAGTCAAACCACATCACAGTATTTATGTGGAGAAGAAAAGGGGGAAAAACTGCAAATATGTCTCTGCTCCAATCAGAGGTAATCGCAGCAGCTTCTGTCGCTCTTTCACTGCGAGCCCTGCATTTACACACACCATCATTTATCCAGAGCAGCAGTCATTAAGCAGGTGGCAGCACGAAGAGCAAGCGTCTGTGCTAATAGATGTCATAATATAAAAGAAACGGCTCAAGTGAAGCCTTCTGCAACGTTTACGGTTCAGTGTTTGGATTCATTTGAACAAAAGCATAACAAATGTCTGTTTCCTTGATTCTTAGATCAGAGACTTTGTAAAATGCTCCGAGACTGTTGCTGTTGTAATTTAGGACTTTACACAAATGCATTGAATTGGAATCGAATTGTAAATATATATCTATTCATAAATATATTTCAATTTGTAAATAAATATCAATTTGTAAATATATATTGATATGCAGAAACACACAATATAGACAAATGGCTGAGGACTCACTCTGGCTCTTCACGGGGGCAGCATGGCTCTTGACGGGGTACGCAGCCTTGGCCACCTTTGGCACATGGTAGTAGCGGTCGGGAGTAGCTTCGGCCACAGCCAGGAGCACCAGGAGGAAACTTGCCACCCTCAGGTCCATCTTTGTGAAGCTAAACCGTCTGGAAAAACGCAAACACAATCATTGTTAGAGCTGCATCCACACAGACGGCTGTGTCCTGGGACGAGAGCGCAGATCTGAGAGCACAGGGCTGAGATGCTCTGATGCTGCGGCTCTCGGCAGGTGTCTGCAGAGCGCGGGGACTCACCGGGTTTAGGGCTTCGGAGAACAGCGGGTCGAGCTGGAGGCTGCAGTCCAGGCACAGCTCTTATATCCTTAAAGTGTGAGGCGTCAGCTGCTCTTCTCAGGGCATCGCGCTCTGGGATTTTATACTCCAGCGTCCTCAGCAGGAGGCTGCAGCGGCTCGGGGAGGCCCCGCCCACTCTGATGTCATCTATAATGACGGGGCCCATGTCCTTAGGAGGCCTGGCTGCACAGTGACAGACCTGCCCCAAAGAAACACCATCTCTACATATGAATGCAGTTTGATAAGGAAACACCAAAACAATCATCTTTCTTTAGATATTCTAGATTTTTGGAGCAAGAGTAATGCACTTTTTACATTTTAACTATTTTCTGTGATTAATACATTTAATAAATTGGTGGAAACTTCAAACTTTTCTCTTGTTGCTAAAATGACTCGAAACATCTAAAAGTTATAACATCGCTGTCCGATAATTATCTGGTGTAGAAAAAAAGATAAAATACTACATTGTCTCCCATAGGATGACTTTGTCTTGGGACATTTACACACACCACACCAGACATTATATAGACACTGTTCAGAGCTCCATCAGAGACCTCCAGGACCAGAGAGAGACCCCGAGAGAGACCCCGAGAGAGACCCACAGACTTGCTAACGGGCATCAAATCACAGAACATCATTGTGAGATGCCCCAAAATAACAAAATAATTTATAAAAAGGAGAAAACTGAGGCACTCAATGGGGAGAGAAAAAGTTAAATTAATACCTGGCTAAAAAGTTAAATTTTCACTACAAAAAGTAGCCCAGTAACCTTGCCTTTTGAATTTAACAAAATATTTTACTAATAATAATTTTGCTGAAGAAGGGGTGAAACCTTATTTGTATGGCACTGAAATATGAGGCTTTGTAACTACTCGGTAAAGGGTAAATGTAAGTCTTTTTGATATTATTTGTATTGGCACTTACCTGTTTGCACCATGAGCCAAAAGCTAACTCCAAGTGTGTGTCTTCCTGTTGCTTTCAATATAAATAAAAAATAATTCTGATTCTGTATAAATGAGACTTGGCTGTAAACATAGCGGCACATGTTTTGCAAACACACATCAGAATAATTGGACCCTGTTTGAGGATGTTTGTTCTCCTTCTGGAAAAACTTAAGCCCGTGTCAGACTTTTTCCCTCCACCTTGTCACTTGTGGTTAAATAAATTCACCATGTGGCTATTTTTACCAGATTTTAACCATGGAAAAGAGGTTTTAATCTATAATTTTGGCCTAACTACACGTACAATACTCTCTCCTTTTGTTGGTAAACTTTAAATTATCGAGTCAAACACAGTTCTCCACAGAGGGATGTCTCACTCTGTCGCAGCCGCCGCCTTTGAGTCACAGTCTCAGAGTTATTTTGGAAGATGCTGTGCTCCTGTCACTCACTAGGGGGCAGGAGTGAGGCGAACCTGACCACTGCGGCTGCTGGATTAACGCGAGACAAGACTGCAATGTTGAAGGCAGTAAATGAGCTTTTGTATAGTTTTAGTAAGACTTTAATTCAAACAATATGTAAAAGAATCAATCTAGACAAGATTCAAAGTAAAAATAAACAGAAATCAATAGTTGTAGCAATTTCTCATGGACTTTTTTATGTTATTGATGATGAACTTTCCGCATTTGCAAAGATTTTTTTTATCTCTCTGTCTCTTTATGAAGTCAAGACCAGGAAATGACCAGAGTGGAACCTCCAGAGAACTGTGCAGGGGTTTGGTTTGGACTGGTTTTGCTCATGAGGTCACACATTAGCAGTTTGTATACGTTATATTGACGTAAGCTAAGATTAGGTTTAACAGAGCACACCATTTAAATAAAATTCAGCTCTGGACAAACCACTTCTGGCAAAGTAGGGTAGGATTATTTTTATGGCACAGTTCACCAGGCAGCTCAAAGTGCTGAACAAAACACGATAGTCAGACAGAATCACAGTTCATTAAAGATTAAACTACAATCCTTCAGATGTGTTCACAGCGAAGCACAACTGTTTTAACCTGGATTTGATGTCTCACATTTTAAGGAAGACTGTTCCAGGGTTTAGCTGCATAAATCTGAAACTGCCTCCACCTGTTTAGTCCTAGTCTGGTTTTAGTCATCCGCACATTTAGGTCAATTATTTCTGTACAGTTTCCAGAGTACAAAGTTAAATTTGTACGCTGTCGTCGTGAGACCAGGTGAGTTTAGTCCTGACTCTTTGTGTGAAAATATATAATTTATCCTCTTGCCATGTCATAAAATCCACATTTATATAGTTTAGTGTCATTCAAAGAAATGAATAACAACACCTTTGAAGATTGTAGCTCGAGGAATGATTTCCAGTGAGAAAATGTGTAAAAAGACCTGCAGGTGGAAGCCCGATCCTGTCCGGCCTCTGAAGCTGTGCGGTGCAGGGCCTGGTTAGGGCTGTGATGGGAGACCTCTGGGAACAGCAGGTGCCACAGTGGGGCGGCTGTGGCTGTGAAGTGCCAAACTGTGGTGGTGTCCTTAGGCAAGACACTTCTCCCACATTAGAATGAGTCTGGTGTGTGTGTGAATGGTTGGTGGTGGTGGGAGGTGGTTGTCTCTCTCCTGTCAGTGTGCCTCAGGGCAGCTGTGGCTACAGTAGTAGTTTATCATCACTGTGTTGAGTGAAAGAATGATGTGAAGAGACTTTGAAGGTCCTGAAAAGCGCTGAATATTTTGTTTTATTATTCTTGTACAACACAAGTGAATATGAAGTATTACACAACAGCACATGCTTTAAACAAATACACATGATATAAACCTGTGAATGACACTTTACATCTGATAAATGCCTCTTCCAACCTGTGTTCGTGTAAATTGAGTTCTGCAGCTTTGCAATAAAATCTTTTTCAAAAATAAAAAAAATCACAGATGAAAGTAAATAAAACCTATATTTACTTTTACTTTATATAACCAGGAAAGTCCCCCTGAGATTTTGGAGCGAGGGCGGGAGGGGGGTCAGAGAGGACTATAGCACAAGGTTTTAGTGGTGAGGCAAATGAGTACTATGAGGTAACCTGGAGGAGGAATCGAACCCAGGACCTTCTGGCCGACCCCTGTGCCGGCCAAAAAATCTGCAATACCCATATCACAATATTGATCTTTGTCACATATTTGAATGCTGTGGTTGTGGAAGGATTTGGCGCATCCTGCAGCGAATGCCAGTCTGAGCCGTGCCAGGTCTGAGCCGTGCCACAGTGACGCAGCGTTTATAAAGGCCCACAGCGGTCACTACACTGTCATTTGGAAAAGCCCGGACTTCCTCAGAGCTGTTGGGTTTAAGTGAGAGCTTTAGCCGAGGGAACAGTCTATGCCTCTGTAAGCACGAGTATAAAAGGGACAGAGAGGGGGAGAGAGCAAGAGCGACCGGAGAAAGAGCGACCGGAGAAAGAGCGACCGGAGAAAGAGCGACCGGAGAAAGAGCGACCGGAGAAAGAGCGACCGGAGAAAGAGCGACCGGAGAAAGAGCGACCGGAGAAAGAGCGACCGGAGAAAGAGAGACGGGCCAGAGAGAGAGACCAGAGAAAGAGAGACGGGCCAGAGAGAGACGGGCCAGAGAAAGAGAGGCCAGAGAGAGAGAGACCAGAGAAAGAGAGACGGGCCAGAGAGAGACGGGCCAGAGAAAGAGAGGCCAGAGAGAGAGAGAGAGTCGAGCCAGAGAGAGAGACGGGCTAGAGAGAGAGAGAGGAAGAGAGGCTAGAGAGCGAGAGAGTGACCGGAGAAAGAGAGACCGGAGAAAGAGAGACGGGCCAGAGAAAGAGAGGCCAGAGAGAGAGGGAGAGAGAGAGAGACGGGCCAGAGAGGGAGAGAGACGGGCCAGAGAGAGAGGGAGAGAGGCCAGAGAGCGAGAGAGTGACCGGAGAAAGGGAGAGAGGCCAGAGAGAGAGAGAGAGAGAGACGGGCCAGAGAAAGAGAGGCCAGAGAGAGAGAGAGAGACGGGCCAGAGAGAGAGAGAGAGAGAGAGAGAGAGACGGGCCAGAGAAAGAGAGGCCAGAGAGAAAGAGAGGCCAGAGAGAGAGAGAGAGAGAGAGACGGGGCAGAGAGAGTCCAGAGAAAGAGAGCGAGACCAGAAAGAGAGCGAGACCAGAAAGAGAGCCAGGTCAGAGTCTACACCTCCTTAAGCTCAAGCACAAAAGCCTCTCATCAGCAGGACCAGTGCAGTAGTTTGTATGGGAGCGGAAAGTGCTGTGTGCTCATTCATAAACACACATTAGCCGTGTTGGGTCCCCTCAGCGCTGGGCTGGGTGTCTCTGGGACGGGGCCTCTGTGTAAGCATTGTTTTGGGCCCCGCATTATTAGGACGCTCCAGACGTGACTCACTGCCCTGTGGCTTTCATTAACTGCAGCGATGGAAGCCAGCCCTGTTTTCCTCATCACATTCGCTGATGTCTGTGGCTTTGTTTGGAGATGGAATTCTGGCACTGCAAAAAAGTGATAACGCATGAGGTAATACGTGCTTCAATCAAGCACGTATTATTATTATTATTTGTCAATGTTCAAATCCATGTTAAAGACTTTTCTTTTTTCCTGTGCATACAACTAAAGAATTTTATCTTTTTAACACACCTTGTTATTTATTGTTGTAACTTTTTGTGTTTTTAACTTTATTGTTTTTAATTACTTGTGTGATTCTTATGTTTTTAAATTACTTATGCGATTTTAATGCTTTTTAATTAAATATGTGTTTTTAATTATATTTTAATGGTGATGATTTGTGTGGTGTGGACTGTGAGGCGTTTTGTGTTGCCCTGTGCAGGAAAAGCGCCCTATAAATAAAGATTGATTGATTGAGATTGAAGTGTTTAAATGTGTTAAAACAAGATTCTCCAACGGGACAAAACCATTTAGTCTAATATCAAGAACTTAAAGCTGCACTAACTGACTTTATTTTCTTATTCATTACAAAAATCCTATCCATGTCCATGTGGTGCATTGGGATATACGTCCTTTTGAAGAAAAAGTAGCGCAGGTTTGTGCTGGCGTGACATTATATTTTAGATCGAGTTTTCGTGAAACAAGGAAGAGAATGTGTTTCGGGTCGCAGATTGTGACCAATCACAGCGGACCACTGGCCCCCACTTTCGTGAGAAATCTACAGGTCCGTCGTTAGCACAGACTGCTGAGTTAGCACAATAAGCGGCGGAGCTGACCTGAAGCTTCCT